GCTTGTTTAACTCCCTCTGCACAATGTATATTTGTGAACCTCAACTCTGTTGCTTATGTAGAGCTTGAAAAGTCTCTTGGCAACAAGCTTCCAGTTGCATCCAACACCTGCCTTGGCTAATTGGTATGCCCAGTTCTGGTACTAGAGCCTCTGAGGAGTTTGTGTTTGAGTTTGATTTCATCAAATTTAAAATGGAGCAAAAATGTGAAGGGCCTTTGGGATTGGCCTGTTGATTGAGAATGAAAAGGCAAACATAGAAAGAGAGAAGAGGGAATGAAACCTTGTGGATAAAATGACTATTAATTTACATTCAGATGCTTTTCAGCTCAACTTACATATTAAAAATAGTATATTTTATTTGGTTGCTCTCTGGTAGCTCCTTTCCATATTTGCTGGCATTATAAATAAAGATAGAGGAAAAGAATGACCAGGTCCTGAGATTATAGTGTTTTCTGGCACATGTCTGCACCAAGGTTGTTTATTGTAGACACCATTTATACAGTTTAAAAAAATGGTAAGCTGGTAGGTTTCCTATCATCTGTGTTCCCATGTACTTTATTATAGTGTGTTCATTTGAACACGTACAAAATTATTTTGTAATTGTTTAAACATTTTCCACTTCTGCTAGCCTGAGGTCTAGCAGTGTGTGGTGTCAATTCATTTCTATTTCCTGGACCTAAAATGGTTTTGGGCATGTGTTTGAGCTGAAATGGAATTAAATTGAAAAATGGATTGCATTAGGTAGTTTATACTTTATCCCACTAAACATAACAGGTTATCAGCAACAGAACAAAAAGATATTGCCAGTTAGTTTTTTATCTGGAACTTTCCCCCTCTTTTCCTTCCTCCTTGTTTCTTTTCAGCTCTTATTCTCTTTACCAGGGTGGAATTAAAGAGTAAAGGTAGGCGATAATCACTGGAAAAGGAAGCTTTCATAGTGGTTCCATGTGTGTGGACTTGTCTCTTCCCCTACTTCTCCTTGTCCCCCGGCAAATACATGGGTTATATGTTTGTTGTTCAGTTCTTTCCTCCATGGTACTGGTGCTCTTGGAGCTGCACAACTGATTGAAATAAAAAACCTTTGCTATTTTAGAAAATAAAGTCTTGTAGGATTAAGCCTTTAGATGAACTAGTGGTGACTACATACTAAAGTGTCTTGAGTAAGCATGCCAATTTGTAACTTGAGTTTTGAGTAGTGCCTTTATATACGAATGTCTCATAAATTTTTTCCAAGAGCAATTTTTTCTTCTAATTGACTTGAGCAATATCTGTTTTTACATAGTGCTTCGAGATGTTTTCAAGAAGTCAACTCTACAGTTGTTTGAAAAATTTCCTTAAGTTACAGTGAGTCTCAGGAGACACCCAGAAACACTCCCTGAATTAGCATATTAATCATAACCTTGCATAACTCAGGCGAACAAGCCTGACTAATAAACTCAGTTATTGGTGGGGATAGTCAGAGAGTCCTCGGCCCCAGCATTTAATCTTATAAAATGCAAGAATAAAAATACTTAAGACTATTTTAGGGTGTAGTTTGTGATTTTCTGATTGCAAGTTTTTTTCTTGCTGTGGGAGCCACTGACTGTTTGTCTCAAGTGGAAATAAGAGTCATGGTTAATATTAGACTACGTCAAAGGACAATTTATCTGGTGACTTGTAGAGTAATGATTAGTTTTTAGGGGCTGGAGGGGAGTAGCAACATTTAGTACCTGTTGAATTTGAGCAGTTCCTTGCCTCTGTCCCCAATACTGCATGCCCTTAACCCTGGATGTAATAATTTCTCAGTATTCTTACTTAATGGGCTGAGAAATTTTCTGGCTAACTGGTTGGAGATAGTGTGATTCAACAGTATAAAAGGTTTATTTTTTTGGTGGTGGTGATGGGGGTGAGATAAAATGCCCAAGAAACATTTGATACATATTTTGTTGCTTATAAAGTTTGAAGCAGTTGCAGTCTCAGTTCTGCCATCCAGTATCTGTGTGTGATCTAGTGAAAAGTTATGCAGCTGTTCCCTTATCTATAAAATGGGATTGATAATTACATACCTTGGAGAGTTGCTGTGAGAAATTACATAGAATATGTGATATGCTCAGCACTGTAGCAACGAAAGTTGTTCCCTTCCTTTTTCCTTATTAATTTAGAAAAAGTAAAATATTTTCGTTGGTCTGTATGCCAATTGAGATTTACTTGGTAACCTATCTCCTCCCCATTTTGGCATGGTATGGCTTTTCTTAGGCCCCCACAAAATAACTTTTTGCTTGCCTAGTGACATTAGCTTTGTTGATTAATATCTTTTCCTTTTGGACAGGGAATAAGTGCTTCCTGTATCCTTGTCCATTTGGCTAGTTTGTTGTACACAATCAAGATGTTCCCTCCTGTCTTAACCTCAAATAACCAAAAAGGAAAGCTAGTTAATGCTGCTAAGCCATATATAACAATTTCATGGCTTTTGAGCTGAATAAGTGTAATTCTTTGCTGCTTTTTAGCCTGAATTAAAGTTTAGGAATGTTCATTTTCTAGCAGTTTGTTTTATTCTGTTCATGCCTAAGCTTAAACATGTTCCATAGTTTGATTACTATGTATGGAAGGACATACAGTATTTATATGAGAAATTCTGTTCAGTTGCTATAAGATTCTTGCTCATTTTAAATCTGATTTATCATGGATATACTTCTTACTTTTTCCAAATAATATAGACATAGGTAAAATTAAATTTTGATAGCATTGAAAGTTATTGTAAATGGCTACTATTCTCTACTTGAGGTAATTGCACAGAATATCTTGCCTAACTGTATAGTTGGCCCTCTATACCTGTGGGTTTTGCATCCAACATAATTTTTGTCTGTGGTTGGGAATCTGTGGATGCTGACTGACTGTATGCATTTTTCTATGCTATTTTATTTTATTTATTTATTTATTTATTTATTTTTAAAAATATATTTTATTGATTTTTTACAGAGAGGAAGGGAGAGAGATAGAGAGTTAGAAACATCGATGAGAGAGAAACATCGATCAGCTGCCTCCTGCACATCTCCCACTGGAGATATGCCCGCAACCCAGGTACATGCCCTTGACCGGAATCGAACCTGGGACCTTTCAGTCTGCAGGCCGACGCTCTATCCACTGAGCCATACCGGTTTCGGCTCTATGCTATTTTATATAAGGGACTTGAACACCCATGGATTTTGGTGTTCAAGGGGGTTCTGGAATCAATTCCTATGGATACTGAGGGATGACTGTAAACTTAAAGTGTGTATTGTCATATTCATATATTTAAATAGTACAGATTAACTCTTTAGTAGAAACATTTCATATAAGAAAAATAATTGCAAAAAGGCTCAAAGATCTACATGGTTGAGTTCGTATTGAATACACTTTGGGCCTTTAGATTCTGATTCAATGAAAAGTCCACTGTAGTCATTTTCTGTACTGCACTGTCTGGGGCTTGAGAGGCTTCTGTGATTGGATTGTATTCTGAGTATGCTTTAAAATCATAGCATTAAGCAACTTTTAATCAAAGCTATTTTCAGTTCTTTTTTGTTCCTTTATTGTAACTTAATGTTGTGAGGGGAAAAAATCCACCAAGTTTTTAAAACATCTTAGCTTTTCAGCCTTTTTATTTTTCTACCAAAATTATAGGTAGAATGAATTTTGTTGATATTTATTTCATACTTAGAGCATCTGTTAAGACAATGGTGTAATCTAGAACTCCTGATTAATGATCAAGTAATTTTGATTTTTAAAAAGCTACATATTTTAAGTCTGGTCAGCATCTTATGAGAAATTTTACATTTACATTTAATCTCCCTTCTTGGTAGTATTGTGCCACCTAGCGGAAATTTATGTCCTTGAAAATGTATGTCTCAGAATGTAGATAGACTACAAGATGCATTTTAACATGTTAAGAAAAAATAGTTTGGAATGTTTGATTGACTTGGAATTCTTTAGAACAATGATTACTTTCCTAAACAAGAGTTTAGGACAAAAAATTCTTAGTAAGTTAAGGTTTAGTAGATGTCTTAAAATTATGTGCTCCCCAGTTAAAATCTGTTTCTTTTTTCCACAAGAAATGCCCTACATTTATTTTCTTTATTAGTGAAACTTTAATCAAAGCATATTATATTTCCATCAGTTAATATAAAAATAATTTTGCTTTGTAGATCTTATAAAAGTCTATCTCCCCTTCTCCCTTGAGTTTAATTATTGTGCATCTAAGCAGAATGAAGTGGAGTTTACATGTTACTAGTATTTATACAATCTAGGTTTATTTTGAAGTAACAGGAGTAAAACACATTGGATGATAAATATTAATGAAATAATCTAAAGAAAAAAATGAAGACAGCTTTATATAATTTAGGCTTTTATCATTGGAACATTTCTTACCAAATGATACGCTCTTATTTGTGCTTACTTGGAAATAAATAAAATTCAGGATTTTATCAATTGAAGAATTGGTGGTCTCTTTGTCTTGTTATTAAGTATGAAGAAGATGCCTAATTCCTTGTGAGGTGTTCAGTGTACTCATTTTTGGTAGCACTGGAGAAGTATTTCTCTCTTGGGGCTGGGCATACTGTGTAATCAGACTGGCATATGAACGCTGAGGTTGTCTTCAGCGTACTCGTTGATATGCTATAAGGAATCTCAAACCCTGGCCCATGTTGCTCAGCTGGTTGGACGTCGTCCCATGCACCTAAAGGTTGTTAGTTTGATTCTTGGTCAGAGCACATACCTGGGTTGTGGGCTCAATCCCCAGTAGGGAGCATGCAGGAGGCAGCTGATTGATGTTGCACTCTCACATCAATGTTTCTTTCTCTCCCTCTCCTTTCCTCTCTCTCTATAAAAATCAATTTTAAAAAATCTTAAAAAAAGAATATTGAGAATTATCTAACTAGTTAGAGAAAATAGTTCTGAATTACATGATGTGCAGTCATTCAGGCATATAATACCTTTATAGAGTCATGGATATTTTATAACGTTTTTATCTTATTATTCTTTCTTAGTTGCTGATGTATATTCACGATGAGTGGATTAGGAGAAAACTCCTTGGATCCACTGGTCCCTGATTCACGAAAGCGCAAATTGCCATGTGATACCCCAGGACAAGGGTAGGCAATTTATTTTCTGTTGCTTCACCAAGGTTTCCTCTCCTACTCTTATTTATTTATTTTTTTTTAGTTTAAAGATAACATTTCAATTTTTTTTAAGAAATTGTTTTATTGCTTAAAGTATTACAAAGAGTATAACATATGTCTCCTTTATTTTCCCGCCAACTTTTTGTTGTTTGCACTCTCTGGTTAGATATTTTTGGTTTTTGTCTTTGCTATAATACTGTTATTTTGCTTTATAGTAAGTGGAGTGGTACAGTGATGAGATGGACATCTTTATGATGTAATAGAGGCTTTATTGCTGATTTAGATAGAAGCGAGAATATTATACTAACAGGGTGATACTGTAAGAAGCATTTCTCAACTGAAGAGGTAGGAGTTAGGAACAGATAACTGAGATTATTATAAATAAGAATTTTAAATATTTTTTAAGAACATGTTATTAGTTGATATTTTGGCATTTCTAAGGCTTCATCATTTGTTTCCTGAATGTAGTTAGAAGTTTAAAAAATAGAAATAAAATGCTGCATTTTATGCAGTGATACTCTGTAGCCTTGTAAGTATTCACCAAGGTCAGCATCATTTGAGTTTTAATATGATAGTTGCAAATAAAAACAATCTACAATTTATGAAACCTCATTATTAATACTTAACCCCAATCTCCAGATTGATGAAACTGAGATTAATTCTGCCCAAGGCTACTGGGATAACAAAAAGGTAGATTTGAATTTAGGTTTACATGAATTTATGCTATATTGTACCACTTCTCAGCACAATGTTTTGATAGTTTTATTGTCTGGATTTAGTTTATTTACATATGAAGGTAATGGTGTTGTGTAGGGACTGATTCTGCTTATAGCTCTTTGGTGATAGGTATATTCATGTGTCCCCCCCCCCCCCCCCCCCTTCTTAGTCTTACCTGCAGTGGTGAAAAGTGGAGACGGGAGCAGGAGAGTAAATACATTGAAGAATTGGCTGAACTGATATCTGCTAATCTTAGTGATATTGACAATTTCAACGTCAAACCAGATAAATGTGCAATTTTGAAGGAAACAGTAAGACAGATACGCCAAATAAAAGAGCAAGGTAATACAAAGTAAGAAAAACACTCAAGTCTTTTAGAAGGAACTTGTTAATTGTTTACATTTGTCTTTTTGTTTCCTTGTTGCTTAGGTGGGGGCTGCTAATAATTGTGGGAATGGATAAATGCGTTGACCAGTTTTACTCTTTAGGACTATTAACAGAGAATTGGAAGAAGGCCAGTGTTGCTCTCTCTGTCAAATGTTAGTTCTTTTTCAGGAAGCCATGGGATAGTAGTACATTTAGTAATGAAAGAAAATTTAGGGTATCTTTATCTTCTACCCTCCTAGGTAATTCTGAAGTTTAATTTTAACATGTAAAAATTATAGTGTCATTTTCATATCAGGAAATATTGTGTATGTGCATATGCACGTGTGTCTCTCTTTGTTCTGGGGACTATTTGAAGGTGGATTTAATCTATCACTAGTATATGTGCTTTTTGTAGTAATGTTTTCTGTCTTTTTAGGAAAAGCTATTTCTAATGATGATGATGTTCAGAAAGCTGATGTATCTTCTACAGGACAGGGGGTTATTGATAAAGACTCCTTAGGACCACTTTTACTTCAGGCAAGTATATGGCTTTAGCTATCCAGTAAGCTGTTTTTATTTTTAAAAAACTGTTGAAATTTTGGTTAGGGAATGAGAACAGAAAGACGTTTCTTTTTATGAGACAGAACTTAGTATTTTGAATATGATGGAAAAATGCTCTTATATTTACAATATATAACTCAGAAGGCCTGCAGGGGAAGAGGAGCATCTCCTTATAAAAATGTAGTTGCAAACTGAGAAAGTAAACAAAAATATAAAAAAGCAAGAGAGGAAAGGTAATGCATAATTTCAAAGTTAATATTAGGGCATATTTTACCTCAGACTTTTTTGTGCATTTTTGCATGATTGATCATATGCCTCTAGTATGCATATAAGATCTTTGGTTAATCTCTTCCTGCCCTCCCCTCTCCCCCCTTCCCTCTGAGATTCATCAGTCTGTTCCATATTTCTATGCCTGTGAATTGAGCATCTGCCTCCTGGTGGTCAGTGAGCGTCATAGCTACCGGTTGAATGGTCGAACGGTTGCTTAGGCTTTTATATATATATACTAGAGGCCCAGTGCACAAAATTTGTGCACTCGGGGGGGGGGGGAGGTCCCTCAGCCCGGCCTGTGCCCTCTCGCAGTCTGGGACCCCTCGGGAGATAACGACCTGCTGGCTTAGGCCTGCTCCCGGGTGGCAGAGGGCAGGCCGATTCCCTAGGTGCAGCCCCTGGTCGGGCTCAGAGCAGGGCTGATTGGGGAGTTGGGGCACCGCCCCCTGTCATGCACAGAGCAGGGCGGATTGGGAGGTTGCGATGCCACCCTCAGTCACACTCAGGGTAGGGCCGATTGGGGGGTTGGGGCACCGCCCCCTGTCACACTCAAGGCAGGGTCGAAGGGGAGGTTGTGGCGCCACCCCCTGTCACACACAGAGCAGGGCCAATCGGGGTTGGGGCGCTGCCCCCTGTCACGCACAGAACAGGGCCCATCAGGGGAGTTGGGGCTCCGTACCCTGTCACGCACAGAGCAGGGCCCATCAGGGGGTTGGGGAGCTCCCTCCTGTCACGCACAGAGCAGGGCCGATCAGGGGGTTGAGGAGCTCCCCCCGTCACTCACAGAGTAGGGCCGATCAGGGGGTTGAGGAGCTCCCCCCTGTCACTCACAGAGTAGGGCCGATAGGGGAGTTGGGGCACCGCCCCCTGTCACACACAGAGCAGGGCGGATCAGGGGATTGGGGCACTGCCACTGTCACACTCAGGGCAGGGCCAATGGGGAGGGTATGGCTCTCCCCCATCACACACAGAGCAGGGCCCATGGGGTGGGGGCTGGGGCACCGCCCTCTATCACCCACAGAGCAGGGACGATCAGGGGGTTGGGGCGCTGCCACTCTCACACTCAGGGCAGGGCCGATGGGGAGGTTATGGCTCAACCCTGTCACACACACAGCAGGGCCGATCAGGGGGTTGGGGCGCTGCCCCCTGTCACACACAGAGCAGGGCCGATCAGGGGGTTGGGGCGCTGCACCCTGTCACACACAGAGCCGCAGGGTGATCAGGGGGTTGGGGAGCTCCCCCTATCAGGCACAGAGCAGGGCTGATCAGGGCGTTGGGGCGCCTTCCCCTGTCATGAACAGAGCAGGGCGGATAGGGAGGTTGTGGCCCCATCCCCTGTCACACACAGAGCCGCAGGGCGATCAGGGGGTTTGGGCACTGCCCCCTGTCACGCTGATCCCGGTGTTGGGAGGCATATTACCCTTTTACTATATAGGATAGAGGCCTGGTGCACGGGTGAGGCCTTTTGGTTTGCCCTGAAGGGTGTCCTGGATCAGGGTGGAGGTCCCCACTGGGGTGCCTGGCCAGTCTGGGTGAGGGGTGAGGGCTGTTATCAGGCTGACGGGTGACTGAAGCTCCCAACCGCTCCTTTTTTTTTTTTTTAATTTTTTATTCTGGGCCAGCTTTAGCTTTGAGGCTTGGCTCCAGCTCTTAGGCCTCCGCTGCTGAAAGCAGGTTTCTGGCCTTTGTTTACCTTCTGTATTTGAAACAATGTTGCGATCCTGCTGGCTGAAGCCTGGCGGACTATAGCAGGTTTTTGAGGTTTTGTTTAGCTTCTATATTTGTAACATAGTTGCTTAGAGTTGCAGCTCAGAGGCCGGCAACTCAGGCGGGGAACATTGGAGTCCTCCGTCACTGAAGCAAGCAAGCCTCATGTTCGCTTTAAGCTGCCTGGCTGCCGGCCGCCATCTTGGCCGGCAGTTAATTTGCATATCACCCTGATTAGCCAATGGGAAGGGTAGCGGTCGTACACTAATTACCATGTTTTTCTTTTATTAGATAGGAGATGGAGATTATATATATATATATGTATATATATATATATATATATATATGGCCCTGAACCTAATGTTAGTAGAAATGGTGGCTGATAGTAGTTTTTTGTTTTTTTTTCCCAAATTCTACTCAGTGTCTTAATCTGCTAGGCTGCCATAATAAAATACTACAGATTGGGGGGATTAAATAGTAGAAATTTATTTCTTACAATTTTGGAGGCTGAAAATTCAAGATCAGGGTCAGTAGGCTTGGTTTCTTCTGAGACCTCTCTCCTTGGTTTGTGTAGATGGCTGCCTTCTAACTGTGCCCTCACATGGCCTTCTCTCTCTGTGTGTGCATCACTGGTTTCTCTCTCTTTGTAAGGACACCAGTCATATTTGATTAGAACCCTACCTTATAACTTTAGTTAACCTTATTACCTCCCAAAAGCCCTGTCTTCATTGAGGGTTAGGGGTTCAACATATGAACTTTAGTAGGGATATGGTACATTCCATAATATCCAATATTAACATATCCCACTTTAGGCATTGGATGGTTTCCTGTTTGTGGTGAATCGTGATGGAAACATTGTATTTGTGTCAGAAAATGTCACACAATATCTGCAATATAAGCAAGAGGACCTGGTTAACACAAGTGTCTATAATATCTTGCATGAAGAAGATAGAAAGGATTTCCTTAAAAACTTACCAAAATCTACAGGTAGGCCTTTAATATGTATTTTCTAAATAAGCTGAAAAATTTTTTTTCTTGACCATTCTTAGAAAATTAAATGTACCTTTTGTGTAGAAAGGCAAGTGGTTAATAGTAAAATTTTCAAATATGATCTTGGTGAATTTAGAATATGGTATACATTTCATATGACCAAAATATACAGTGAAGTTTCTGTTTTAGTTAAAATTATTTTAGTGTTTTATGTACAATAGCTCCCCTTTATCCTCAGGGGATGTGATCCAAGACCCCCAGTGGATATCAAGCTGTGGATAGTGCCAATCATTATATATACTATGTTATTTTTTTCTATACATACACAATAAATTTTTCACTTAAAGGAAGCATTTTATATCTTCTCTTTGGCATATCCAAATTACCAGTATCACTACTCTTGCACTTTGGGGCCATTACTAAGTAAAGTAAGGGTTACTTGAACACAAGTACTGCTGCTGAGACACTAGATCTGATAACGGAGATAGCTGTGAAGTGACTAACAGGTGGGTAGACTATACAGTGTGAATATGCAGGACAGAGGATGATTCGTGTCCCAGCAGGGTAGGGCGGGATGGAATGCAATTTAAAACTTACGAATTATTGATTTCTGGAATTTTTCACTTAAGAGTTTTGGACCATGGGTAACTGAAACTGGGTAAGGGGAAATTCTACTGTATTGCCACCTTGAAATATTAGTTGTAGCCCTTACTGAGGAAAATGTGTGTAATGAGAAAATATAGCTTGAGTTCTTGATGATGGTCATAGACTGAGTTGCCAACTTTTAAAATTTATTTTCCAAAGTTAATGGAGTTACCTGGACAAATGAGACCCAGAGACAAAAAAGCCATACATTTAATTGCCGTATGTTGATGAAAACACCACATGATACTGTGGAAGACATGAACACTAGTCCTGAAATGCGCCAGAGATATGAAACCATGCAGTGCTTTGCCCTGTCTCAGCCACGAGCTATGATGGAGGAAGGGGAAGGTAAGAGTGATTACATATTTGTGATGTTTATGAAACACATAACAGCCAAACTTGTAGTTTTATAATTTCCATTGTTACGATTCTTCCTACTGAATTTCATGTTCTTACCTATTGAACAGCTATATTTAATGGTTATATAGATTTCTTACCTGGTTAAATTTTATTGTAGATTTGCAATCCTGTATGATCTGTGTGGCACGCCGCATTACTACAGGAGAAAGAGCATTTCCATCAAACCCTGAGAGCTTTATTACTAGACATGATCTTTCAGGTAAAAACTTGGTGTATTGCATATATACATTTTGTTCATTTAGGAAATGTTTAGAAAAGTTAACTGTTTCTACTGCCTGTACTGTCAGGCTGTACCCAGTGTAATGAATGCTTTGCATGGATTATTTCCTGTATTTCTTATACAGCCCTGAGAGAAATTCACTACAAATTTTGAAAAGGCGTAGCTAGTTTTTAAGGACTATCATGAAACCTACTTTAATTTTTTAACATATTTGAGTTGTATAATGAAACCTACTTTAATTTTTTAACATATTTGAGTTGTATATATTTTATCTCTAGTGTATTTGATATTAGGCAAAAGTTGTCAAACTTTCAGATTTGAGTACTTGGTTAACCTTGTTTAGATTTTAAGTGTTCAAAAATGCAGTCACCTCTCAGATAGAAAGAATTGTCCCTACTAACTGTTTAGGCAGGTATTTTCTCTTGGATCATAGTTGCAGGGATAGTATCTTCAGATGTGAACAATTTTATTGGTAGGTGTTATTTTTTTTCCTTTAAATGAAAATGAACCTGAGGTGACGTGTAACTTTCTGTACATTCAGAAAGTAGAAAGAGATATGTGATACACTCTTATAGTCTACTAGTGGCCCAGTACACAAATTCCTGCACCCGCTCCAATCTGGGACCCCTCTGGGGATGTCCACCTGCCGGCAGTTGGACATCGCTCTTGCAATCTGGGACTGCTGGCTCCAAACCGCTCACCTGCCTGCCTGCCTGATTGCCTCTAACCATTCTATCAGCCAGCCTGCTCGCCCCCAATTGTCCCCCCCCTTGCCGGCCTGCTCACCCTTAACCGCCTCTGCCCCGCCACCATGGCTTTGTCCGGAAGGATGTCTGGAAGGTCTCCTGGTCTAATTAGCATATTACCCTTTTATTAGTATAGACTAGAGGCCCGGTGTGCACTCGGAGGGGCGGGGGTACCTCAGCCCGGCCTGTGCCTTCTCGCAGTCTGGGACCCCTCGGGAGATAACGACCTGCTGGCTTAGGCCTGCTCCCGGGTGGCAGAGGGCAGACCCAATCCCTAGGTGCAGCCCCTGGTCAGGCTCAGAGCAGGGCTGATTGGGGAGTTGGGGCGCCGCCCCCTGTCATGCACAGAGCAGGGCGGATCCGGAGGTTGCGATGCCACCCTCAGTCACGCTCAGGGTAGGGCCGATTGGGGGGTTGGGGCACTGCCCCTGTCACACTCAAGGCAGGGTTAATGGGGAGGTTGCGGCGCCACCCCCTGTCACGCACAGAGCAGGGCCGATCAGGGGGTTGAGGAGCTCCCACCTGTCACGCACAGAGCAGGGCCGATCAGGGGGTTGGGGCGCTGCCACTCTCACACTCAGGGCAGGGCCGATGGGGAGGTTATGGCTCTACCCTGTCACACACACAGCAGGGCCCGTGGGGTGGGGGGGTTGGGGCGCCGCACCCTGTCACACACAGAGCCGCAGGGTGATCAGGGGGTTTGGGTGCTGCCCCCCTGTCACGCTGATCCCGGTGCCGGGAAGCCTCTCAGCTCCGCTGATCCCGGTGCTGGGAGGCATAGTACCCTTTTACTGTATAGAATAGAGGCCTGGTGCATGGGTGGGGGCCAGCTGGTTTGCCCTGAAGGGTGTCCTGGATCAGGGTGGGGGTCCCCACTGGGGTGCCTGGCCATCCTGGATGAGGGGATGATGGCTGTTTGCAGCGGGTCACACACCCTTCAGGTTGGGGGTCCCCACTGGGGTGCCTGGCCAGTCTGGGTGAGGGGCTGAGGGCTGTTTTCAGGCTGGGACTGAAGCTCCCAACTGCTCCTTTTTTTCTTTTTTTTTTTTATTCTGGGCCAGCTTTAGCTCTGAGGCTTGGCTCCATATGTGAGGTCTCAGCTGCTGAAAACAGGTATCTGGTTTGTTTCGGTTCTATAATCGAAATATCAACTCCAGCTCTGAGATCCCAGCTCTCTGAAAGCTGGTTTCTGGGTTTTGTTTAGCTTCTATATTTGTTACAGTGTTTTTTAAACTGCAAGCTCAGAGGCTGGCAAGGCAGGTGGGGAATGTTGCAGTCCTCCGTCACTGAAGCAAGCAAGCCTTGTGTTAGTTTCAAGCTGCCTGGCTGCCGGCCGCCATCTAGGCTGGCAGTTAATTTGCATATTGCCCTGATTAGCCAATGGGAAGGGTAGCGGTCGTATGCCAATTACCATGTTTCTCTTTTATTAGCTAGGGTATAGCAAAACATTTAATGTAAGAGTTTCCTGAAGGACTGTGTCTTTAACCCATTGTATGCCATAAGCATCTGTAGTCGCAAGTGGTGGACCTTCCTCACATGCCACGCACATCTATAAAAAAAATGTTTTCCCTAAGTGGCAGCCTTGACCAACTTTAAACTCATTTTTTTGTGTGAGAATTTTCAGCTGAAAATATTCGAGAACACCCGAATTGTGAGTAATATATTTATTTTGTAATATTCATTGCAAATTGATTTTTTAAAATTAAATTCAAAATATCATGGCATGTGGGGATGGTTTCTATTTTGGACACGTGGCAGTTAACTGGTTAAAGAGAAAAGGTTTGGATACAGCGGAAATTTGAATCAAAGATGGTGGATCAAAGATTTAGTGTCTTTATTTTTTTAGTGGGAAGCCATGTAATATGCAACCAGTAAATACTTGCTGGTTGGATTTCAATTCTTATTTTCTGTTTAATAGGAAAACTTGTCAATATAGATACAAATTCACTGAGATCCTCTATGAGACCTGGCTTTGAAGATATAATTCGAAGGTGTATCCAGAGATTTTTTAGTCTTAATGATGGGCAGTCATGGTCTCAGAAACGTCACTATCAAGAAGGTAAAGAATTTTAAGGAAGCTTCTTAATATTGTTGTCATTCTGTTTGGCATGCTATAAAGTAGAAGTACAAACATGACCGTAGTTGTTGTTTTGTGCCTGTGGGATAGGAAAATTATTCTTGAGCATTCTTAGTTTAGCCTGCTCATAATATTGGTGCAGATCCAGTCTTTGACTGGATTTTGAAAATGTTGCATTTGAAGTATATTTCTTTTCTATATGTATCTGTTTGTAATTGTAGTTATTAGTAACAGGGTATTTTCCCCAACAGCTTATATTCATGGCCATGCAGAAACTCCAGTGTATCGATTCTCTTTGGCCGATGGAACTATAGTGACTGCGCAAACAAAAAGCAAACTCTTCCGAAATCCTGTAACAAATGATCGTCATGGTTTTGTCTCAACCCACTTTCTTCAGAGGTAATGATAGATAACTGTATATATTCTCATATTAAATGCATCAGTGTTCTCAAGATGTTTTATTAATGTAAGGAGAGAAAATTTAACAAGAGTAAAAGCAAGAAGGATGTTGGATTTACCAGTAAGTTTAGATTCCTAGATTATATGTTTTCTTTAAGGTTGTATTTTAATGTGAAAATGGTATTTATTCATTAATAATTATTTCCTGGGAAATCTCGGAACTGGGAAGGCTAGTGGATAAAAGAGCAAATAAAATCTGACTACCTCTGTTACCTTTCATTTTCAATGACATATTAAATTGCTCTAAGGTCGAATTTAAAATTTGAAGGTAGACTTTAAGAATAGTTACTATTGCTGTTGCTAATGGTAAATGAACAACACTTGGAGGAGTATCACTAATTATCGAGCAGTTTGCTGGCATCTCCAGGTTAACACCGAGGTGGACAGCAACTCAAGCAGAGCCTTGCTGAGGTTCCAGTTAACATAGCTATTGGCCCTTTGCTGTGCTGTGGTGGTGTCACTCATTTAGATTTTGTGGCTTATTAAAAAGTATATCATTAGGTTAATAAATGATCAGTATCTAGATTGGAATTGTCCCTAGGTATCAGAATGATGCCTAAGAAGTTAAATTCCTGGACACTTCATCCTTTTTAGAAAATCTGATTCAGGGCTTTAATGCATGCCTGTCAGTTTTTTCTTTTTTTTGCAGGGAACAGAATGGGTATAGACAGAACCCAAATCCTGTTGGACAAGGCATTAGACCTCCAGCGGCTGGATGTAATTCGGTAGGTGGCATGAGCATGTCACCAAACCAAGGCTTACAGATGCTGAACAGCAGGGCCTATGGCTTGGCTGACCCTGGCACCACAGGGCAAATGAGTGGAGCTAGGTATGGGGCTTCCAGTAACATAGCCACAATGAACCCTGGGCCAGCCATGCAGTCACCATCTTCCTACCAGAACAACAACTATGGTCTCAACATGAGTAGCCCCCCACATGGGAGTCCTGGTCTTGGCTCCAACCAGCAGAATATCATGATTTCTCCTCGTAACCGCGGGAGTCCGAAGATGGCCTCACATCAGTTTTCTCCTGTTGCAGGTATTCCTGTTGGCATTTCCTTTTCTTTTTTTCTTTTTCAGAAATCCCTTTCTTTCCAGACCACTGTAATTCTTATGAAGTTAATTTATTTTATAATAGAAACTCTGAAGAGTTAAGTGGTATTTTGTTTTATGGCATTTGATAGTCTATTTCTTTTCCTCATTTTCCTCCAAATCCAGGTGTGCACTCTCCTATTGGATCTTCGGGCAATACTGGGAGCCACAGCTTTTCCAGCAGCTCGCTCAGTGCCCTTCAAGCTATCAGTGAGGGTGTGGGGACGTCTCTTTTATCTACTTTGTCTTCACCAGGCCCTAAATTGGACAACTCTCCCAATATGAATATAACTCAACCAAGTAAAGTGAACAGTCAGGATTCAAAAAGTCCCTTAAGCTTGTATTGTGACCAGAATCCAGTGGAGAGTTCAATGTGTCAGTCAAATAGCAGGGATCACCTCAATGACAAAGACAGTAAGGAGAGCAGTGTTGAAGGATCAGAGAATCAGCGGGGTCCTCTGGAAAGCAAAGGTCATAAAAAATTACTGCAGTTACTTACCTGTTCTTCTGATGACCGGGGTCATTCCTCTTTGACCAACTCCCCCCTGGATTCAAGTTGTAAAGACTCTTCCATTAGTGTCACCAGCCCCTCTGGGGTCTCCTCTTCAACTTCTGGAGGAGTGTCCTCCACATCCAATATGCATGGGTCACTGCTGCAAGAGAAGCACCGGATTTTGCACAAGTTGCTGCAGAATGGCAATTCACCAGCTGAAGTGGCCAAGATTACCGCAGAAGCCACTGGAAAAGACACTAGCAGTGCAACATTCTGTGTGGAAGGAAACGTCAAGCAGGAGCAACTAAGTCCTAAGAAGAAGGAAAATAATGCCCTGCTCAGATACCTGCTAGACAGGGACGATCCTAGTGACACACTCTCTAAAGAAGTACAGCCCAAAGTGGAGGGAGTAGACAACAAAATGAGTCAGTGCAGCAGCTCCACCGTGCCTAGCTCGAGCCAAGAGAAAGACGCTAAAATTAAAACAGAAGCAAATGAAGAGGTAATTCGTTTTCTATATATTCCAGCTTAGTCATTGTGTTTCAGCCTTGCATTTCTGTGTTAGAAAGACAACGTTTTATACACAAATTCTTATCTTGTATTTTATGTTTATTTAATGGAAGTTTATCTTGAGCTATCATTTCTTTGTAATTCTTTTAGGCATCAGTAAAGTGTATTATGATGCAATTTAGAAATATCAGATTATATATTTTAAAATGTGACTATAACTTGTTACCAGCCAATTTGAAATTTTTCATGGAGGTGTTTATTGTTAGAATGAGCAGATTGGGTCATTAGGGCATAGTAGAAAGAAACCAGGGGAGTGGGGGTGTGGATTTATATTAAGCAACAGCATTTTGATTTTTACCTAAAATCACATTTTATGTACACGATCACATTCTATATAAGCACCTCCTAAACTTTACTTGAGGAACACTATTCTGGGAGACGTTAATATGTGCCTGAGAAAATTAAAGTCTTGGAAAAGTCCTACTGTTATTTAACTTTATTTAACCTAGTATTCTCCAAATTTATTGACCAAAAGCTCCTTTTGCTCTGTCCTTTGCGGTATTTTTCAATTGTTGTGGGAGGCGGCAATTTCTCGGTGTTTACCTATGCCGCCATCTTAGTTTCTCCCAAAAGCTCCTTTTAAAGCATGCCTATGAATACTGTGTTGAATATCAGCTTGTTGCTTTTATTAATCATACTTGTTTTCAGAAGGTATGTGTAGATGCAGACCTCTGTGTCTGCTACTGATCCTGACTAAAGTTAGCTGGGAAGCGTTCTACAGTTTGAGAATTAATTATCTACTGCAAATTAAGGAAATGCCCCTTTGAAAGCAGCTCCAAAACCAGGGATTTGTCTTAGTAGTTTATATTGTTCTTTCATGGAAGAAGACTAGGGGAGGTCATAAGTAGCCAGCCTTTAAGTGGAGAGTTACCGTTTCAGGTAACCATTGTATTTTACTTGTTCACCCATTTTATTTATTTTCTTCCAGTGACTATGGTTATACCTATATATCTAGTAATGTACATAGGTTAATCTTTAAAATTTTATTTTCAGGGATCTGGAGATTTGGATAATCTAGATGCTATTCTTGGGGATCTGACTAGTTCTGACTTTTACAATAATTCCGTATCCACAAATGGTAGTAATCTGGGAACCAAGCAACAAATGTTTCAAGGAACTAATTCTCTGGGTAAGAAAGAATTTTATTCTTGTTGCCTTTTAAACTTTTTTGCATATTGCATGTACTCTTACATTAAGACTAGCGTCCAGCTGGCATATGTAACTTCAAAATGCCTCTCAGTTTCTCATACTAATTTGTAATTACATGTTTTTAGAAACTTTTGGGACATTTTCCTATTTTAAAAAAATTTCCAATTTTTAAACTAATATGATGCCAGTAATTGTGGCACTTTCAGGAAAATGTTCATCTTTGATTGGTCCAGATGAATAGTAGTTGCTAGGGCATGTATTTTTCTAGGCACAGAGAATCAGATTAAAAAGCAACCAAAATTATAGCTCAAAACCTGTCCTTCGATACTTATGGAATCTTGTCATTGATTATAAGACTTTTCTTATTTGGTGTTTGCTGGTCCCAGCTTCACTTCTATAGCCTTATTCATCAATTTAATACAGATATATTGTATGTATCAATTGAAAAAGAATAATTCACAGTTATCTGAATGGTGGTTATTCATTTTCACTAGCACTATTTCCTAAACTGAAATGGATAATCAGATTAATGAAATAGACTGGGGAAAAAAGAAAAAGGTTAGGAAATTTTATGTTTCATTCCTTGTTTGATTAGAAGGCAACTTACCTGGTTATACCTACTTGTAAAATTTTAAACAGAGAAGCCATTTAATATATAGACATAAGGGAAGAACCTTTAAACATTGGTAACATTTTCAGTATTAAGTGAAGTGAAATAGGAATGACCATATCAGACTATAGATCATTGCCCACTACTTCAGCCAACATGGAGACTCCTGTTTCTACTTTGCTTGGAATACAAGTTTTTTAAATTTTTTAAATTTAGTGTTTATATTGTAAAGGAGGACAGTGTTTGTTTTAGTAAGAAAGACATTCTTGGGTGGGTGGTATTGTATTTATGTCTTATTCTTGATTATTCATGTATTGAATCATCAGAGGATATTTATATGTATTGTGCTTCTGTGTTTACAACAGGTTTGAGGAGTCCACAGTCTGTTCAGTCCATTCGTCCTCCATACAACCGAGCAGTGTCTCTAGATAGCCCTGTTTCTGTTGGCTCAAGTCCTCCAGTAAAGAATATCACTGCTTTCCCCATGTTACCAAAGCAACCCGTGTTGGGTGGGAATCCAAGAATGATGGATAGTCAGGAAAATTATGGTTCAAATATGGGTATGTTATTTCTAATTAGTATTTGTGATTAAAATTTTCTTTTGGGAAAAGCAAATTTAACACTTAAAACCAGTTAAGTAACTGAGATTAAGTAATAGGTTTTTGAATAAAAGTAGTAGCATAAATGTTTCTTTCATGAGTATTTCCCTCATTTAATCTATGTCTTGGTTATTTAAACTCTTCAGGAGGCTTTTGGTCTAAGACATTTTCTAACCTGTAATTGAATACATAGTGACCCATGAAAAATGTCTTCATAACTTGCTAGCCCTCTTCTTAGGATGACGAAGTACTGTTTTGTCCTGGCTGATGTTGTATATGATAACTGTACCTATCTGATATAAGAAGGGTTTCCTATAATACGGAAAAGATCTAATCATTTCCGTCTGTTGTAGGTGGGCCAAACCGAAACGTGACTATGAATCAGACGCCTTCCTCTGGAGACTGGGGCTTGTCAAACTCAAAGGCCAGTAGGATGGAATCCATGAGTTCAAATTCCATGGGAAGACCAGGAGCAGATTTTAATGCTTCTTTTCCCAGACCTACAATGGGTGGCTCGATGCCCACCTTGCCTCTTCGGTCCAATAGCATTCCTGGTGCAAGACCAATGTTGCAGCAGCAGCAGCAGCAGCAACAGCAGCAACAGCAGCAGCAGCAGCAACAGCAACATCAGCAGCAACATCAGCAGCAACAGCAACATCAGCAGATGCTTCAAATGCGTAAGCATCCCCTTCATAAAAAAGAAAATTAGATGTTTTAGAGGAATTTTTGCTATTGGCTTATTTGAAAATGTATTCTTTTTGTTCCCCCAGGGCCTGGTGAAATTCCCATGGGAATAGGGGTCAGTCCTTATGGCCCAGCAGCACCATCTAACCAATCAGGTTCCTGGCCAGATGGCATGTTGTCCATGGAACAAGGCCCTCATGGGACTCAAAATAGGTGGGGGCTTATTATGTGACTCTAGAGAAAGTTAGCCTCGGATTATCTAGAAAAGGATCAGAACATAGGAACAAACCTGAAAGAGAACGAGAAAAACTCTGTAATTAGGTACTCAGTTGCTATATGGTCGTTTCTCGGATAATTGTATGTAAAAACAAGGCGGAGGCAGCAAGCAGTGGTGTTCATGGGAGAGGGAGGAGATGGAGCTATATTGTTCAGCTACCAGGACTCTTTGAATGGTCAAACCTGGGACTTCTGTGAGGTAGTTGTCTCTCATAATGTTATAATCCTCCTCCATGAGAAGGGGGGTAAATTAGCACCATTATTTTTATAAGATAAATGGTGTTCAGAGGATAAATAAGCCTATTTTTTATGGAAAATTAATTTTTAAGGATTGGATTAATTCTTTTAAAAAATTAAAACATTTCAGGGATTATTGTGACAGTGAACTATACATAGCAAGCACTCTTAAAAAAGAAGGATTGTGGATTATGTTTATATTTCATTTTTATTTAGCTTGGTTGGTAGTAGTAACTCATTTGCATGAAAGAGGCTACCTGTCAATGTCAATTCTAACTTGAATTCTATAATAAATCAAGCTAAGAAAAAATGAATTGATCTATTGAGTAGTTTGTGATGTAACCATATGAATTTGTTACAAATTTTTTAAAAATATGTTTTTATGGATTTTAGAGAGGGGGAGAGAGAAAGAGAGAGAGAGAGAGAAAAAGAAACATCCATGGAGGAGAGAAACATCACTCTGGTTGCCTTCCATACCCACCTCAACTGCAGATTGAACCCACAACCTGGGTATGTGCCCTCACCGGGAATCAAATTGGCGACCTTTCCGTGCCTGGGACAGTGGCCATCCAACTGGCTACACTGGCCAGGGCACGACACGAATTTATTAACTTGAGTGTTTCTTTATCTAGTAGAGAACAAATAGTTTCATCACAGAGAGTTTTTCTGAGTCAGGAGAATTGTCTAGTTCCATGCCCATTTAATGTGCTTGAGAACTGGCACCTTGCTGTGGTGTATGGAGTTTGTATTATACCTGTCACTGCATGAGCTCTGTGGGCCAAGTATAACAAAAAGTTATTTTGGCAGGATACCAGGCTCAGTTCATTGATAGTGCAATGTTTCTATCTTTCTTCCTGTTCTTTTGTTGATTTCTCAATTTACATGACTATTACCACCTTTATTCTTGTAGGGTCTTGAAAACTGCACCCTCCACCTCCACTCCAGTCTTTGCTATCCCCCAAATGTCTAGGGGTCTAGCAGTTACAGTTTAGTGATGGGAGGGGGGAAGCCTAAGCTAAATATGATGGTCGAAGATGGCCTGGTGAATTTAAAATTGTGGGCCTTGCCTGGCCTGTGTGGGTCAGTGGTTGAGCATCGACCTATGAACCAGGAGGTCACAGTTCGATTCCCGGTCAGGGCATATACCTGGGTTGCTCAATCCCCAGTGGGGGCGTGCAAGACGCAGCCGATCAATGATTATCTCACATCATTGATGTTTCTCTCTCTTCCTTCCTCTCTGAAATCAATAACTATATTAAACAAAAAATAAATAAAATAAAATTGTGGGCCTTAAATTTAAATTGATATCATTTCCTAGGCTCTGCTACTCAGTTTATTATTAGATGTACCAGTTAATAATGCGGATTTTTTTCAAATATATTTTATTGATTCTTTACAGAGAGGAAGGGAGAGAGATAGAGAGTTAGAAACATCGATGAGAGAGAAACATCTATCAGCTGCCTCCTGCACATCTCCTACTGGGGATGTGCCTGCAACCCAGGTACACGCCCTTGATGGGAATCGAACCTGGGACCCCTCAGTCCGCAAGCCCACGCTCTATCCACTGAGCCAAACTGGTTTCGGCAGATTTTTTTCAATAGATGGAGTTACACATATGTTGATATATATGCTATTTGATATGTATGCTGTTTTGTTGTATTGACAGCAAGCTTCAAAACTTCATATGTCAAATTTGCTGAAAGTGTTAACGTCATAGATATTTTTACACTTAAAAATGGTCGAATTTCGTGCCAAAAAGCACTTGCGGGAAGTTTTAATTCATTACTTTATTTTGAAGAAAAAGTTATCGTATACTTCGGGAAGCTTTATGGTGAACATGCTCCATCTCAAGATACTTGTGAACGCTGGTTTAAATGCTTTAAAAGTGATGATTTCGATGTGAAAGACAAAGAGTGTCCAGGTCAACCAAAAAAGTTTGAAGACCAACAATTACAAGCATTGTTGGATGAAGATGCGTGTCAAACTCAAAAACAACTTGCAGAAAGATTAAATGTTGCTCAGCAAACAATTTCCGATCGTTTACAAGCAGTGGGAAAGATTTTAAAGGAAGGAAAATGGGTGCCACATCAACTGAACGAAAGACAAATGGAAAACTGAAAAGTCAGCAGTAAAATGTTGCTTCAACGGCATGAAATAGTCTTTTTTTGCATCCAATTGTGACTAGCGATGAAAAGTAGATTTATTTTGAGAATCCCGAATGCAGGAAATCATGGGTTGATCCAGATCAACCATCAACATAGACTGCAAGGCCCAATCGCTTCGGAAAGAAGACAATGCTCTGCGTTTGGTGGGATCAGGAAGGTGTGGTGTATTATGAGCTTCTAAAACCAGGTGAAACCATTAATACTGTTTGCTACCGACAACAAATAGTCAATTTGAACCATGCTTTGATCGTGAAACGACCAGAATGTGCCAGAAGACACGGCAAAGTAATTTTGCTTCATGATGACGCACCATCACACACTTCAAAACCAGTTAAAGACACGTTAAAAGATCTTGCTTGGGAAGTATTAACCCATCCACTATATTCACCAGACCTTGCTCCTTCAGATGACCACTTGTTCCGATTGATGGCACGTGCACTTTCTGAGCAGGACTTCAAAATGTACGAAGAAGTAGAAAATTGGGTCTCTGAATGGTTTGTCTCAAAAGAAAAGTTCCATTGAGACGGTATCCACAAATTACCTGAAAGATGGGGGAAATGTGTAGCTAGCGATGGACATTACTTTGAATAAAGCACTTTTGATGTTTTTCTTGAAATTATTGTGTTTTCTTTGATTACAGAATCCACCATTATTAACCAATACACCTAGTATTTATACTTAGTGTTTGAGTATTTGTTGCATATTAAAAATATTATGTGTAATTGTGATATTTTATTTTGAAGAGGAAAAGCATCATTGTAATTGCAAGTCTCTCTTTAGGCCACTCTTCAGGAGTTCTCTGGATGATCTTCTTGGGCCGCCTTCTAACGTAGAAGGACAGAATGATGAAAGAGCGTTGTTGGACCAACTGCACACTCTCTTAAGCAACACTGATGCCACAGGCTTAGAAGAAATTGACAGAGCTCTGGGCATCCCTGAACTTGTAAATCAAGTAGGTAGCATTAACATGGAAATAGAAGAACATGTGTACACATCCCTGAAGCTATGCAGGTGCCTGTGTGTCTTTCAGGTTACTTGTGTTACAGCACTACCTTCATATATACCAGCATTTAATTGAAAAAATGTACTTTATAATTGTGATATTATTTTCAGCACCCTACTATTTTATAAAGATGTCAGATTTTAGGCAACTATGGAAATGATCCAATAAAGCTACTGTGCAGTATTAAAAATGTTGCTTTCTACTTACGTTAGGTAAGTAACATAACTTGTTAATCCTCACCTGAGGATATTTTTTCCATTGACTTAGAGTGGAAGGGGAGGGAGGAGAGAAGGGGAAGTGAGAGAGGGAGAGAGAAGCATCGATGTGAAGGAGACACATCTATTGGTTGCCTCCCACATGCTCTCTGACTGGGACTGGGGATCGAACTTGGAACCCAGGTATGTGCCCTTGATGGTAATTGAACCTTTGACCCTTGGGCTGATGCTCTACCCAAGTAGCCACACCGGCCAGGGTAGTAACATAACTTTTTATTTTATTTTTTAATTTTTTCAATTACAGTCTACATAAGAGTCCTCATTTTTATTATTTTTTAATCCTCACCCGAGGATATGTTTTTATTGGTTTTAGAGAGGGAAGAAGGGAGAGAAGGGGGGAAGGAGGGAGGGAGGGAGGGAAAGAGAGAGAGAGGGAGAAAGAAAAAGAAAGAAAGAAAGAAAGAAAGAAAGGAAGAAAGAAAGGAAAAGAGATTGTGGATCAATTCTGCAACCTGGGTATATGCCCTGACAGGAATTGAACCCATGACCTTTCAGTGTATGGGACGACGACACTCCAACCAATTGAGCCACACCGTCCAGGGCAAGAGTCCTCATTTTTATAATTACCTCTCTTTATTACCTAGCCAAGCAATATATATACTCTGGGAAGGAAAGCTTTTTAAAAATGTTAAACAAAACCCATCTTTAATGGTAAATCTGTCATCACCCAGCACCATCATCTCCTAGTCACAGTTACCTCTGCAGTCTTACAAAAATATGCCATTCATAAGTCTGTATTTTTTTGAAACAGGTACATTTTGTAGTGTCTGATTTATTTAAAGGTTGTAGAGGACTGGGGGCTGGTTTGTGCATTCCAGTGATAAGCAGGAGAAATCGTTAAGGTGTTCTCAGTCTATATGGGACAAATGGGTACACAAAGTACATGGTGTGAATGAACAAGTTACAAAAGAAATACTGAACATGATTATTTTAAAAATTTTTTGCCACTCTATTGGTAACAGAAATTCTTGTTTTAAATTGTATTTCTTTGATTTGGGAGATTGAACATACTTTGAATTCTTTTTACCATTTAATTGTGTTTTTTAATAATTTCCTGATGAGGTTTTTATTTTATCTGCAACAGTAATTTATGTTTAGTTATTGATTTGTTGATTCTTTCACTTAACAAATATTTGTCTTCTGTGTGCCAGTCTCTTATTAGATGCAGAGAGGAGCAATAGTGAGCAAATTAATCCCTGCTCCCAGAGCTCACATCCCACTTGGAAGGCAGACATCAGGAGCCACACAGAAGTAGAGGTTATGAGAAAAGGCATTTGATACTATGAAACCTTTATCATAAAGGGGACCTTTCTTTAAAAACAATTTTTTAATTGATTCCAGAGAGGAAGGGAAAGGGAGATATAGAAACATCAATGATGAGAGAAAATCATTGATTGGCTGCCCTTTGCACGCCCCCTACTGGGGTTCGAGCCTGAAACTCCAGGCACATGCATGTGCATATGCCCTGAGGGGGAATTGAACCTGTGACCTCCTGGTTTAGAGGTCGATGCTCAACTACTGAGCCATGCCTGCCAGGCATAAAGGGACCTTTTCTTAAGGTAGTGTGTGCAGTGTCAAATTTTTCTCTAAAGAGTCATATTTGAGATGTGATTTGACGTATGACTATTATCTAATGCAAATAGTTTTACCAGTTTCTTTGTAGTGGTGGCTTGTTTATAGTTTTGTTCTTTAGTTTAAAAATATTTGTGTTTTCAAACTCAGGATGATGAGACTGTGATCAAACATGTTAATACTTTAACAGCAAGATACATAAATAGTCATGCTAACTGGGATATATAGAAATTATGTATTGCTTCATATAAATTCAGGTTTGGCTTTGCTGTTAAATACATTTGTTGCTAATGAAAAATTGTTAGGTGGTTGTGTTTTAGAGCTTTACTGGATTTTTGGAATTTCAGATAAGAAATTGTGGATTGGCTTTTTTATCCCCTCTTCTTCCAGTGCACACTCACATACCCGTAGCCATTACATACACATGTGCACATGTGCTCTTTGTACCTCCAATATAATGATGTCTTCTGTTGTTAAGTAGGTAGTCAGTATTTACATTATTTTGATTCATGACTGATCCAGGTATAGTTTGTATAGGGTTTTGTTTTTTGTTTATTTGTTCTGAGTTACTTGCCTTCTTTTTATTTGCTTGTTTTTTACACACTGCTATGTCTCCCCAGATACTACAACAGAAGTACAAAATTTCTCTTATTTTTTCTTCACTTGTTCAGACATTTCAATTCCTTCTCTCTCTCCTGTAGTTCTCTCTCCCTGTATTTTACTCTGCCCTTAGAGGCAGGTTTAATGATTATTAATTATCACTCTTCTCCTATGTTGGAGCCCCAGTTCCTGAATCTCAGGTCATTTTTTTTTTTTATATATACTCCTTTGTTTTTCTAAGTTACAATTTCTATTAACTTCTTCATCTGTGCTGCCTGAGATACAACATTTTGGGTCCACGTATGTCTGAAAATACTTCCCACATCCCCTCCCCCATGTGCATGTCTGGCTGTGTATTAAATTCTAGGTTGAAAACGATTTTCTCTTAGGATTTGGAAGAAAACTTCCATAATTTTCTAGGGTTGCCATTGAGTCATATTCCAGTCTGATTCCCCTTTCTCTCTCTGTGTGTGGCCCATTTATTCTCTTTGGAATTACGCAGGAACCTTTTCTCTCTGAAATTTCATGATGCTCTATCTTGGTATGGCTCTTATTTCATTCTTTCTGCTGTGTATTAGATGCACAGATATTCCCTTTGGTTTGAGGGCATTTTCTTATATAAATTCTTTAATAATTTTATCTCTTCTGTTTCTTCTGATTTTTCTTTTTGGGGGTGCCTGTTGACATGTTGGGTGTTATATTGATGCTGGTTGTGTTGTTTTTAGACTTTGTTTTTAAGTTAGTTTTTATTTGTTTGAGGCATTAATGTTGGAAGCTTCAGCATCAAATATCTGGTGATTCTGGACTACCTTTTTATATTTACGAGTGATGCATTAAAAAGCAGGACCAGTCTTATTTCAGGACTCCTCAAATTACAACATGTGGATTTGTTGGCCCTCCATGCCCTCCACTCCCATTATATAGTTTTTCTAGAGAAGGTCCTCCATGTCTCGCCTGGAAATTTTTTTATTGTCTGGTTACATTTTGGGAGCTGGGCTAGAGAAATGAGTTGATGATCCCATAGTGTTAAGATATAAAATGATGAAATTCTTGAAATTATATAAGATTTTTTGTTTTCAGCCTCTGCCCTGCTCCTACCCTCTCCTGTGCTTGGTATCCCTGAACCCAGTCACTTTGGGGAGAGTAGGTAGAAGGTACAGACACTTGGCTATGTGGAGTTGGGGAGCAGGCTGAGGGCAAAGGGTAGTTGGCCCCCGCTGCCCTATACTCAAGACTCTGACCAACCGCCTTTGTGAGCACTGTGCCTGACTGCTCTCCCCAAGGAGCCTCTGATTGACGTCTTAGGAGACATTTGCTCAATTCTTGTGTGTTTTCCTCTCAGGCACATGGGTCTCGGTTTCTCTGCTCTGTTCATTTGCTCCTTTCACTTTCTGTCTTTCAGATACCTATTGAACTGTTTGATACTGTTTGCCTTCTTTAGTTTCATTGTTTGGTGGATAAATAGTACCTTTTTAATTTTTTGCTGTCATTTTAGTAGGGTTAGCAAGAGAAAGTTGGTAAATGTGCAGGATCAATTTGCTATGTTAAACCTATAGTAATTTTTACTGTAAAATTTTCTTTATAAAAAGATATCTCAAATTGCTGTCTTGAGAAGGGAATTGGATGATGGGACAAAGTAGAAATTCTACTTTGTAGTAACACAGATGCCAGTTACGATAAGATTTCGAGAGGTGTCTTGGAAAGGGCCACAGCAATGGAGTGGAAAGAAGGATATACCATGTGCATGGAGGCAAAACTGACAGGACTTGGTGGACCGTGTGTACATGCATGTGCATACCCACACTTGGGCAGGGAGAATGGAAGAGTCAAAATTGCTGACTTAGTTCCAAATGAATGGTGTTGCCATATTCTATGTTGTGATACAGGAAAGACTGGAGGAGAATCAGGCTTTTGAGAGTGGGGCTGTCAGGAATCACAGCTTCTGTTTTCTGCATGTTAAATTTGAGATGCCTGAGACATTTAGGTAAAGATGTTATGTAGGCATTTGCATAAGCAAAATTAGAGTTCAGACGTTTGAACTAGAGACCAAAAAATTGGCAGGTGTTGCTAGTAGATGAAAACATCCAAGTAGAAAGAGAGAAAAGAAGAGGACTAACAGTCCTCCAGGAAGAGGCCCGAGAGGCGGGAGAAAAGCCAGTGTGTGTCACAGGACAGTGGGGTGAAGTGTGCTTTAAGGCAAGGCTTGGTGAGGGTGTGGACTGCACACTTGGCATTCTGTGCGTGTGAATAAGAAGATGAAGGTGAATGCAGTAATGACAGGTTCTTCTTGACTTAGCATGGCAGGCTCTTCCTTCCTTCAGAATATTTATTGGTACATCCTTTTCTGTCACCCTCTTGGACATTATTTTGTGTACATACTTAGCAGAAGTGATGTTGGCACGTAACAGGCACTTCATAAATAACTACTTGTTGAAGGAAGCCAACCTGCCCACTACTGACAAATAGTAGTGGATGATCATCTTTAGGTGGATACGCTGCCGGGGCCATGAGCTTTTGTTGGTTTACCTAAATCATCTGTTGCAAACTTCAAAAATGTTCTTTTACAAATTATGTTAGAATTTTGTAAATACAGTATAAGGATTTTAATTGATTTACTTTATATATTGATTTATTTCATATATACCATGTTGGTACAGAAATCTAGTCCGGAACCAATAGTATTTCTCCAGGTACTTAATACATTGTAGATATTTGGCGCAGAAAATGTTTGAGTGTCTATTTGTGTGAAACCATAGCTGTGAAAGATGGGGCATGGTCTCTGTTCTCATGGGACTTCAGACATTAAACTTGATTTTGCTTTTGGAACTGTACAACATCATTGTTCACATATACTAACTTTATTTTTCACCTTCTTTAGAGCATTTGCTCTCAGTTGTTTTTCCAGATGTACTTCACTGTTCGTTTATGTGTTTGATGTTTAAGGGACAAGCTTTGGAGCCCAAACAGGATGTTTTCCAAGGCCAAGAAGCAACAGTAATGATGGATCAGAAGGCAGCATTATATGGGCAGATGTATCCAGCACAGGGGCCTCCAATGCAAGGAGGCTTTAATCTTCAGGGACAATCACCATCTTTTAACTCTATGATGAGTCAGATGAACCAGCAAGGCAATTTTCCTCTCCAGGGAATGCATCCTAGGGCCAACCTCATGAGACCTCGGACCAACACCCCCAAGCAACTTAGAATGCAGCTTCAGCAGAGGCTACAGGGCCAACAGGTAACCAGTCACATGCTCTGCCTTGACCAAAGCGGCTTTACCTTTGGCCTCCTCTTCTTCAGTTGTTTGTGTTCTTCAGGCCTTGTGTCACTGGCTCTCTAACTCTTGTCAACTAAAATTCCTTTTGTTTTCACTTCTGTGTAACATTTTGTTTGTATAGATGGTTCCTTGTTAGGGGCTGTGTGCTAGAATTGGGTAGTTTTTTATAAGAATAGTCTGATGTACATGTTAAAAAAGTCAGTTTCAGAGAGGATTGCTCTTGAGAGAGAAAAGTATTTCTAAGTGACTTTGTAGTCCTGGAGGTAGATAACTTCTGTTTTTAAAAGTTCATAATAGTAATAACCAAATATTTAAACCCGAGTGATTTTAGCATTCTTAAAGATTTATTTTTTTATTTATTTAGAAAGGAAAAGAGAGGGAGGGAAACATTGATGTGAGAGTGAGACATTGATTGGCTGCTTCCTGCATGCCCCCTGCTGAAGATTGAGCCTTGAAACCCTGGCATGTGCCCTGACTGGGAATCCAACTGGCAACCTTTTGGTGCACAGGATGATGTCCAGCCAACTGGGCCATACCGGCTAGTGCTCAGCATTCTTTTTGTGGAATCTGCTTTCTAGATGTTTTATAAAACTTGAGCTTTCTTAATATGCTAAGATACGACATTTTTCTCATTGTTTCTTTAATCCCCAACAAATATTTTAAAACTTAAGTGTTTGTATTGTTTGCATTGCGGGTGCTGAGTTATCAGATGTGGCAGACTGAACCATATAAACAAGCGAGTGAATGAGTTTAGAATCCGGTGAGCCAGGCATGCTTCTAGTGTATGAGTATTCCTAAAAGTCAGTTTAGTGCTCAGGAAAGCTGTATTGTGCTCATGGTATCATTTTACTTTTTACAATTTCTTTCTAATAAAATTTACCTAGGAAAAGATAACAGAAGAGGTAGTTAATTCAGTGTTACTCTGACAAGTTAAAGCTGTTTCCCCAGTTGCCTAAACAATCCCAGAGAACATCTGACTTCACAAATCCTTTCCGTTCCTGTTGAAAATACTCTTTAAGCTGCAAAATTGCACTTACACTTTTCCTTCTGATGCTAAACAATAAAGTTTCATATGCTTGCTAGCCAAAAACTTTTCAGCATGAACTTTATCAAGTGTGGAAGTGTACTGGTTCAGCTTAGATGGACTTACCCAGGCTAATGGGTTTGGAAATACCATGATATTGAACATTTGGAAATACCCTGGGTAGTGTTAAGGACTTGGAAAGGTATTAACATGTTCCATTTGCATCCTAACCAACCTGTCTCTCTCCAGTTTTTGAATCAGAGCCGGCAGGCACTGGAAATGAAAATGGAAAACCCCACTGCTGGTGGAGCGGCAATGATGAGGCCCATGATGCAGCCCCAGGTGAACTCCCAGGTAAGAATAAGTTTCTCGATGTTCAGTTTCACTGTCCTATGTCCAGCACAGGGTCTGGTGTGGCCTGTGCTTGGCTCTTATAAATGTTTATTAAATAAAGTAATTCCAAGTTTTTTTGTGTAAGAAACCATCCCGTGGTCTCATCATACTTTTTCTTTCGTTCTTTTCTCTTGCTGGTGACTGGGAAGAATCAGAAGAGGAAGGTTCTTTTATCAATACCACTGATTCGTGTTTTTTTAAATTAATTCCCATTTGCAGTCAATTGCTGTATTGTGAAAACAGCTGTCACTTCTTTTTAGGAATTTAAGATAATCTGTAAACTTTTCTCTGTTCTTGGATTATGAAACTATATGCTTTCTGGGCAACATTTGAAATTGTAAGAATAATAAAGAAGAAAATAAGTAAAACATAATCTTACTCTTACTAATAACCTCTGAGATGATCTATTCCCCATAGATGGAAGGATGATATTAAAGTTCTACCTCCAGTCCAAGGTGGAGACTGTATTAAGGTATTTTCTTAATGTGCACAAGGCAGAGGATAACACAAAAACCCTTTACTGTGGCCTGAAATGCTGTTCGTAATTATTAAAAAACAACAGCGAAATGCTCTGTTTTCACTGTCTAGGTGCACTTGGAAGTACTGATATCTGTATTTCTTGATAATCAGACATCCTGTGTAAGCTAAGCTAGGGTGCCCTCCAAATCAATAATAAAGGTTTGCTTTTGGAGATGGTGTCTCCCAGCTGGTAGAGCACAAACCAGCTTCCTTGCTCAGTGCTTTGATCCTGTCACCGCCAGATTTCCAGATAACTTCTCCTTACCTCTGCCTCTTCTTTCAGAGGTTTAAAGTGACTGTAAGACTACCTGGCATGGATTCCTGCTTTCCAAGTGTAACCCCGTTCATTTTTTTCTCCCCTTGTTTCAAATTCCCTTCTCCCCAATACACTCTCAATCCTGCCCCTTTTCATTTTGTATTTTTTTTTCAATTTCTGAAAAGTTTGAATGTTATCTATTTAAAGCTTGACAACTGTCTACTTTCATCTCCTGACCCCAAATAATTTCTAGGTCCCTCTTCTGCAAATCTTCACCCTCCTACCCATAGAAAGCCTTGATCATGATGAGAATTGTACATTTTTCCTTTTTTGTAATTACATAGAAAGTTATTGGGGTTTTTTTCTCTCTGATACCTGATGTTTTTTGTGGGGGTACTATATGTATGAAATAGGCTGGTTCTTGCTCTGTGTAACTGATTCTTTCTTGGGTATTAGCAGGGGTTTCTTAATGCCCAGATGGTTGCCCAGCGCAGCAGGGAGCTGCTAAGTCATCACTTCCGACAGCAGAGGGTGGCGGCGATGATGATGCAGCAGCAGCAGCAGCAGCAGCAGCAGCAGCAGCAGACCCAGGCCTTCAGCCCACCCCCTAACGTGACCGCCTCCCCCAGCATGGATGGGGTTTTGGCAGGGCCTGCCATGCCACAGGCTCCACCCCAACAGTTTCCATATCAACCAAATTATGGTAAATTTGACAATGAAAATGTCTGTCCCAAAGTGATATTACTAAGGACTTAAGATTTACTAGATCTGATGCTTATTAAGAACAAAAATACTATTCACTCCCTCTCGTTATTTCACAAGAAAAAATGTAATTAAAAATAACAGAACAAAAATCTCTACTGCATTGTCATAGTTGAGTATGTTTTTCCAGGTCTTGTTTTTTTCCCCCCACTCTCCATATCTTAATTTGGAAAACTACCAAGGTGTTACCATGTTCTCCCCAGTATGTCTCTACAGTCTCTGAATGCTTGGTCAAGTCAGAGAGAGTGGTGTGTTGTGTGGGCTTTTGAGTTCCTTTTATCGGTGACTGAGACATCTATTCTATATACATATCCTATATAATAAAAGGCCAGCAACTGAAACGGCGTAACGACCGATTGACCAGTTGCTATGAGGTGCATTGACCACCTCTCGGACTCTCCCCCCAGCCTGCAGGCTCCAGTCGCTGGATGGCCAATGGGGAACCACGGGGAACCAGGGTGGGTGGTGGCGGGGTGGGACTGGGGACTGGTGAGCGGGTGGAACCCTGACCTCTTGGTCCCTCCCCCAGCCCGCAGGCTTAGATTGATCACCCGGCCAACAGGAACGGGTGGGTGGAGGTGGTGGGGCAGGACTGGGGACTGGCAAGTGGGCGGAAGATGGCCCTGATTGCAGGCTAGGTCTAGGGACCCTACCCGCACATGATTTTGTGTGCTGGGCCTCTCGTATATATATATAAAAGCCTAAGCAACTGTTATGACTGGTCAGCCGGTCGCTATGATGCGCACTGACCACCAGTGGGCAGGCACGCTGCTCAGATGACCAACGGGTGCCAGACGCAGGGCTTATGGCTGGCCACCACAGCTTGGAGACCACAGTGGAGTGGCAGCAAGCCTACTGAGAGGCGGCGGCGGTGGCGGCAGGGGCAGTGGTGCCGGGATGAGTAGGAGTGGCAGGCTGTCTTGGACTGCCCGTTTCTGCCCGATTCCCGCAGGCCACGTTGAGGGACCCCACTGGTGCATGAATCCATGCACTGGGCCTCTGTCATTACAATAATGCTTACACCTCTTGGGGATAGTGGTATCTACTGAGGAGATTACATTTCAGAATGCATCCCTGCCAGTTGGGGACAACAGCTCTTCTGCCCTCTATAGAGGGACAGAGTAATGTGAGTAGTGTAATATGGAGTCCCTTTTATACAGAGAGCTTACTGAAGTAACTACCCTTTAAGTCAGTGGTTCTCAACCTTCCTAATGCCACGACCCTTTAATACAGTTCCTCATGTTGTGGTGACCCCCCAACCATAAAATTACTTTCGTTGCTACTTCATAACTGTAATTTTGCTACTGTTATGAATCGTAATGTAAATATCTGATATGCAGGATGTATTTTCATTGTTACAAATTGAACATAATTAAAGCATAGTGATTAATCACAAAAACAGTATGTAATTTTATATGTGTTTTCCAATGGTCTTAGGCGACCCTGTGAAAGAGTCGTTCGACCCCCAGGTTGAGAACTGCTGCTTTAAGTGATCTAGGCAGGTGCTTTTCGGTAGTAAAGCCTGTTACCCTAGTTGGTGTCTTGGTGAGAAGCAAGAATAACTGGCAGGCAGCAGCCTGTAGCACTTGGTGTCTTTTTTTTTTTTAAATATATATTACTGATTTTTTTACAGAGAGGAAGGGAGAGGGATAGAGAGTTAGAAACATCGATGAGAGAGAAACATCGATCAGCTGCTTCCTGCACACCTCCTGGGTGTGCCCGCAACCAAGGTACATGCCCTTGACCGGAATCAAACCTGGGACCCTTCAGTCCGCAGGCCGACGCTCTATCCACTGAGCCAAACTGGTTAGGGCAACACTCGGTGTCTTATACTTGTGACCTTCCCCTGCTTTTAAAAAAAAGAACATAAAATTACTATAGAAAGCTGATGTTCTAAGGAGTAGCATTTGAGCATTGTAATTTTTTCTTTCTTTTTTAAAGGGATGGGGCAACAACCAGATCCAGCCTTTGGTCGAGTGTCCAGTCCTCCTAATGCAATGATGTCATCAAGAATGGGTCCCTCCCAGAATCCTATGATGCAGCACCCTCACACCGCACCTATGTATCAGTCCTCGGAAATGAAAGGCTGGCCATCAGGAAACCTGGCCAGGAACAGGTGAAGAACAAGGACTTTAAAAGCCATTCGTATTCTAGTGCCAAACGTTCAGATCTCTGCATTTTTGAGTTAAGTCTGTTTGAATGGAGAGATCAAAAGGCCTGGGTTCATATTGGAAAATGCTCTTTGGTGCATCCATTTGTGAGTCCTTCCTCCCATGCATGTATCTGTGACAGCATTGAATACAGATAGCTGTGAAAAAGAGGGCAGGCTGTCCGGGAGTTTCCTCTCATGTCCTCTGCTTAAGTACAGTGACATTTGGCAAAATTGTGATAGTCTCTGTGTGTGTTCTGTGTTACTAAAATGATCAGGGTAATTTCACATTTCCTTTGCAGCTCCTTCCCCCAGCAGCAGTTTGCCCACCAGGGGAATCCTGCAGCATATAGTATGGTGCACATGAATGGCAGCAGTGGTCCCATGGGACAGATGAACATGAACTCCATGCCCATGTCTGGCATGCCCATGGGCCCTGAGCAGGTATGGGATCTGTTTTTCACTTTCTCAAAATGTTTTTCTTGATCTCTGGAAGGAACCCAAGTCTCAACTGTAATCTAAATTCCTAGGTAGATTTTTAACTTCGATGTAAAACTTAAAAATATAGTCACTGAAAAAATTTTTGGCTTGAAGGCATTGGGCCACTAGATACTTTTGATAATTTGAGATCTAAGGAATCTGACTCAGTCAGCCAGAACCATGTTGCAAGCCATCAGTGTAGATACAGGGATTTATTTTTTCTGATGCAGTGTTTTCACTCATGTTTCTTTTGGTTGCTAACAGAAATACTGCTGACATCTCCACACCAGGACTTCTGAAGAAATCACTGTACAAATGACACTGTACTAGGATTATCGGGAGTAAAAAATCATTATTCTAGGCACCTAGCTTTGAAGAAAGGACCAGCTTTGATCTTCATCAAGGGTATTCCAAGTGATGTCATTTGAATAGGACTGGATTTTAAGCTGAAGTGCGATATTCTCCCCCCCTCCCCAATGTATCATGGTGTTCAAAACAAATAGTCTTGGCATTCTGCTTCTTAGGGAGTTGGTTCTGGAGGTAACGGAGTGTTATTGATCACAAAACACTCCTTTGGCCCTTCTGTCTGCCTGGCTATTCAGTACAGGATGTTGGAGAAATCAGGAGACATGAGAACATCTGGTTTCTCTAGTTGCAGTACTGGAGGAAGAGCAAGTGCCAGCCTTCATTTGTTTTTGTCACTACCAGGTAGTTCTGTTCCGTAGGGTTGGCATTTCTGAATTCTCTTTTAATGATAGTGTTGAGTTGCTCCAACCCTATTCTTGGTTGTCCTAGTCTTTAGTTTTTATTTGCTCCTAACGTTTTGTCATACTTCACCTCCAGGAATTCTCCTTGATGTCAAATGGCCTTGTAGAAGGGGAAATGAGATGACAGTATTTAATTGCAGCAGTAGCAACTTTTCACATGCTAACGTGCCGCTGAGTGCACTTTATTTAAAAAATAGTGGATAAATGCAATATTCTTGAGGTCTTGAGGAATGGTGAATCACATTCCTGGTTTTTGTCTAACCTGTTGGATAAGAACTATGATTTTGTTGTTGTTGAAAGTACTGGTGTCACCGTTTGCCTATATGGTAGAGCAATAACGCTTTTTGAAAATAAACTGCAGAAAACCCAAGGCCAGGTACTGCATTCTGAATCAGAATTTCGCAGTCTTTCTGTGAATAGATTTTCTTTTGTAAATATGACCTTTAAGATATTATATCATGTAAAATATGTATATACTTTTTTTTGTAGGTCACAACAGCTCATTTTTACAGAGTTTGTGAAGCTAAATATTTAACATAGTTGATTTCAGTAAGCTCAGCGTGGTGAGGTTACAAATAGAAGAGACATCCCTGAATTTTTTGGCCTGGGGAACAGGACAGCGATCCAAAGCTTTTCCTGCTCTCCAGCCTTAGATGCCTCGCTCTTTTCAGTCTATTAATCTAAAAGCTTTTTAAAGAGATCATTTGTTTAGATGTAGGCATTTACATTTTTTTTTTTAAATTCTTCTACCAGAACTAAGCACTTTGTTAATTTTGGGGGAAAGAATAGACATGGGAAAATAAACGTTTTTTAAAAAGGTATCAAGAATTTAAAAATATTAAGCAATTTGATTTAAAGTGGTCCATAAATAAAACAATAGCAATTCATGTTTTTTTTTTTTTTAGTTTTTTTTTTTTTTTTTAATTGGTGTCTTTTTGTCCACTTGAGGATTGCTCTAGGTTTTGGTTACTAGGACCTGAATCCCAATTGAGCTTTCAGGAGTGGAATCCTTGATGTGTGGTTTCCGATGTCTGCTCAGCTGTGCTGTCATTCACTAACATGATGCTTTCACCATCCCTGAGAATAAGAGTTGTGTCCTGGTAATTTTCGTAAGGACTTAGCCCCGGGAAGTCAGTTTTGCATGATTCAGAGCTGCAGTCTGAGCGCCGTTGCACTCCCTCCTTCTGCTACCCCTGCCCTTGTCTGCTGTCACCACTCCCTGACACTTGTCAGTTGGGAATAGAAAAAAAAAAAAATCAGATTTAATTCCCTGTATCTGGTTTACTTTATTAGGTTCATATAATTGAATGAAATTGGGTTTTTGGAATATCTATGAATTTCAAATGTCTCTGTTAGCTTTGGTGTCACATCCTAGCAATAATTGAGAGCCAGTTACTTTTTATTTCACACACATTGAGCTAATCTTTCTAGGTGCCTCTAAGGTAAGATCATTTAATTTCTTTATGAATAAATGAAATCTGTATTTCCAGAACCACCACTAGAATGGATTTGAGTCTGACACCCCATTCCCTCCTGCCCCGTTAAAAATAAATCTAAGATTGTAAATCCATCAACTTCCATCATAGTGGCCTGTACTTTTCAGATAACACATCCTCCTGTCCGGAGACAGAGACATAACTAAGTGTCTGTCTTTTTAGACACAGTTGTGTGAGGTATGTCTGAACCTTTCTTGTTTAAGTTGTGTGTGCGTGGGAGAAACAGAATGGTGCTCTTACCTTTCTTGACTTTTAAAAAAGAACAAAAAGTTTTGTGATTCTTTTCCTTAGTCCTGGCTCCAGGCTAACGAAGGCAGCACCCCTTTTTTATATGAAAAAACAAAAGTTATAAGTTTTTATATTTTCTACTTGTTCATTTTATTGGTGCAAACTTAAGATTCTGATTTTCTTTTAATAGATGCAATCTTTGATATAATTTGTTGTTTTTAACCTTTATTGCCCTTTTATCTTTTTTGGATAATTCTTTGTACTCCTGCTGCCTACCTCTCCTCTCCCTACTTTTTTAAACCTTGGTATTTGTTGGGTGAACAGTATAAGTAATCTTTTCATCAGCTTTTAGAATGTGAGATATTTCCAGTATACCTTTTTTGCTGAATCCAAAGATATATATATAATATATTTTTAAAGATCAAAATGATATAAAGGAGGTACATGTTTCTTCCTTTAAAAAAACAAATAGAGATTGTTAATGTTCATATTATAATGTCACTTTTCTAAGTTGTACATCTTGATGGAAAGGTGTAAATATCAATAAGACTGCTTAATCCTATTCACTCCCCGAGGTGAGTTGGGGGTGTAGAGGGAGGTACTGTAGAACATTGGTTTGCTGTCCTAAAAGTTCTTTGATCCAGAGATAGATGCAGCTGGAAAGTAACAGAATGCATTGCCCGTTACCCATATGCCTGTCCAGTTCCCCTTTTATTTGCAGAAGCCATGAGTTTGTTCCCAAGTGGGAGACGCAGAGGAGCACGCAGGAGCTGCTGTTGAGCCCAAGGCCAACTGTTCAATGAGCAGGGTGTTCTTTTCCCTTCTCTCTCTCCCTCTCTTTCCGATGTATGGGGTTTTGAAGATGGAAATGTCATTCTGAGAGCAATATTTAAATTCTCAGGAATGGACTTAAAGTGTTGAGAATGAATTCAATCAAGTTTACATTAAATGTTGTTTCTTTAAAGAAATCTAAACCATCCTCTAAACTGCAAAGACTCAAGACCACGTGGGATAACTTATGAGGTGGTTGTGTGGTAAGCTATGACTGTTTTGCTGATCATTTGGGTGTCATTGTAAATAAAGGTTTCTATTTAAAATGGAAGCCAAAGAGCTTGCTTTATTTATTTAAAGAAAAATCCTTATTGGATTAAGGGTGAAAAAGAAAGTTAAGGGCTCTTATTTCAAATAATAGTAGCTATTTCTCTGAGGTTAAAATAATCTTTTTCCCCCCTAAATGCTGCTTATTGTGTGCAGCAATAGAACAGCAAAACTGGAGATTATACTCTTCAAACTCGTTCCAAAAAGAAATCTTGAAAAGCATGGAACTGTTCTTACAAAAGGTGAGCTATAAGGGATCATCTATTGAATGAGAAAGGGGTTGGATCAGCTGGTAGCTGAGGTTCCTCCTGTTTCTAGCAGCTATCTTCACCAGGTTAGAAAGGGGTTAGCAACTGCTTTGCATTTGATTTAACACATTCTAAAAATGAGGTCCTAAAGCTGGTGTAATGTGAGATTTACCGGTGAGGTCCTTGAAATACGGTAAATTTTAGTCATTAATTTGTAACCTCTGTTCTCCCTTAAAAAACCACTCAAGTCCAAGGTGTCTCCTTTGAAAAAGTTGTTGACTGGTGGTATCTTGAGTGATTTCAAGGGGGAAAACCCCCACAAAAAACAAAACTCCCAAGAATGGCCTTTTACGAAATGTCAAAGGTTACCTCATACTGACTTCTGGTCATTGGCTGAAGTTCTGAACACTGTATGACACTACTTAGACTACAAAATTTCTTTACAAATACAACTTCATTAAAATGTGGGATTGTACATCAACTTAATTTCTTTTTAAGACTTCAGAAAACATTGGTTCTGGGAGAGAGCACACAGGAACAGGGGCCATGGTACCTGGTTGGGAACAGAACTGTCCACACTGCAGGGCTTTTCTCTCACACTGGCCACAGCGTTTATTGACACCACCACGCTTCAAAACTGGGTTTCTTCTTAGATCCCCTAAGTTCCACGCTGGTTACATGTAAATAGCCACATATTTACAGTGAAGTCCGTTTCTTCAGAGGCAGCCAGGGCTCTAGTGCTAGGTAAGTGTCACTTCTTTGTGCTATTGACTTGCTATCCAACTGCACCGTCCAGCATCTGCACGTTGCCTCTGTCCTGCCTCTTAGTTTGTTCTTCATGACAAACCAAAAGATAAGAGGATTTAAAATAGGGTTGGTCTTCCCCTGTGACTTAAAAAAAATATTCCAGTGACTTTTCATCCTTTGGGGAAATTAAAAAAAAAAAAAATCTCTCTTTGTTCTTTTTCCCTTGTGAGCCTCGGAGAGGGTTAGTGGTGACTTTGATATGAAAATGCATTTTGTGCAGCTGGTGAGGTACAATCCAAAGCAAAAGCAAGGGCAAAAATGGACTTCCTGAAGTAGCACTACTCCTAGTAGTTCTCTTCCAGAATTTGCCATGTTGACTGAAAGCAAGTTCTGTGTCTCTCAGGTCTCCTGGCTAACAGCATAGTCTGCCTGGAATCACACAGGGTTTTGCATTGTCTGGGTGGTCAGATGATGCCTCTGTTTGGGAGGTCCATCCCATGCTGCTTAGCCTTCCCAGCCTTCCCACAGTTGTCCCCTGTGGAATAAAGCAGACTTGCCTCAGTATTTGATTGTCATGCTGCTATGATTACTCAGTCCTACAGCTGCGTCAGCTTTGCTTCAAGGATGTGGCTGCTGAGAAGGAGTATTTCTAGGTCCCTCGGACCAGGCTTGCTACCACCTCATGTCTACATTGTCAGTTGCTGGCATTTAAAGATAGGGGTAGAATAGTGGCCAAGGAGAATGTGAGAGAGAAAGATTATGTGCCTTAATTCTGGGAGCACCAGAGACATGCTTAGCGGGCCCTATTAAAGCTGCATAGGTTTCTCCGCACCTAAGGAAAGAAATGAATAGGCCAGAGGTTGCAAATGGCAGCTCATCAAGGTGTTTTGTCTGTCTGCATGGTAACTTAATGTCAAATTAGTTGCCAATGTTAAGAAAATTCTCACACATATTTGAGTTTCTGGATTTCCCTGATGAATCAGAGGATTTTAAATTACATTGCATTTGTGCCTTTCTCTTTAGACTAGAGGTGACCTTTCGAGGTTGCCACAGTCTCTCAGCTCCCTGCCAGCCTCTATTAGCACTGGAGTGTGCAGCATGGACATTTTGGTAACGATTTAATGAAGCTGCCTAGCTGATGTTATATAAGGACCAGGTAACACTTCTGCAGCCACAGCCTTCAAGGTGTCTGGCAGTTACAATATTTAAGTGCTTCTCATCTTCTAAGGAATGCCTTTAGTTTACCAGGCACAGATTATTTGTAGAGAACAACAGTGTATATAGACAGGATATTAACCTAAAACATGAAATGTACTCAAGGATGTTACTTCACAAGAAAGACATACAGTACTGTTTCCCCTCTCATTATAGGAACAAATGAGAGTAATATGTAAGCATTGGCATGCACACAGAATAGCCTTGGCAAAACGAAGCAAGCCAGAACCAGGTCTCTATTTGTAAACTGGTTCCTCAACTCACAGTGATTTGGAAGAAGGTCTCTTCATTTCTGGCCACTTTCGACGCTGAAACTGCCTAAGTTTTCAAGTGTCAAAAGGAGAATGAGTGTTAACCATCACCAAGAAAGAAAGAGTTACCCCCAAAGAACAATACAAAGATGGTCTCTTAGGTGACACCTATTACTGGTGGGCGATCCAGGCCCCTGGCAGACCAGAGAAAGGGCAGTCACAGAGGTTAGACTAAAGGATGGGCCTCGACATGGGACCATTCTGAGGCTTTAGAAACAAAACCAAATACCTGTATTGTTCATAGCTTCCTCCATCTTTAAGTCCTAAGAGAAACGAACAAAATAGAAACAGTGAATTTAGAGTAAATATGGAACAAGCAATGACGAACTTTATAACTGCTTTTTTTTTTTTTAAACACTGAAGGCATTCCGTCACAAACCCATGGTGTTGACAGTGTTCCCTAGGCAGGCAGAGTGGGATGACTAGGAGGTGAGCTTTCCTGGTGCATTCCTTCAACACTGACCTTGGTCATGGTGGGGGAGGCAGATACGGGCACAAACACCTATGCTACAGAAAGCCAAGGGCCCTGAGAAAGCCAGGTGGTGGGAGGTTCGTGTGCTGCTCTTGGCAAGTCCCCTGGAGGATATGGTAGTGTGACCAAGTGACCAAGTGCGTGGGCTTTGGAGTCAGCCAGCCATTCACTCTACTTATCCATACAGTGAGGACAACCAGGTGTACCTCAGAGGGTTGTCATAGGGTCATCAGCACAGCGGCTGGCACGTATGATGAGGACAGCAGCACTTGGTGGATGTTGGGAAGGTGACTTTTAGCCATGGTGAGAATTCCTCAACTCCTGGTGATTCTAGGTGCACTTTTCGGGCCAGAGTGAACCCAAACTCCTTCCTGCCAGGTTACAGGCCCCATGATGGGCGTCTACTCACCCAGGTCCATGTTGCGCGTCCGGGGGTTACACTGCTTGTAACCCTTGCAACTCCTCAGCTCCATGAGCTGTACATGTAGCTGATTGAGGACATCTCTGTCCAGTGTATTCACTGCATTCATCAGCTGGTTGGAAGGAAGGTGGGTTATCAGCCAGGTGAGTGCTGGCCCCTCCACCCCCACCTCTGCTCCCAACCAGGGCACTGACTGCAGGCAGGTCGGGAGTAGCAGGTGCTATGGGATGGTAACCTTTGTTTTTGCAGGAGCCAGAGTTTGGAACAGTTAGGACTACTTTTTGCCTCTAGCCACATCAGGCTCTCATTTCATGAGGATAAAAACTCATGAGTGTAAAACCACCTGTGTGCTTAACACTGAGCTCCTGGTTAGGAAACTGTGCCTTTAAGCAGCCTTCCATCACAGTCTCTGGGTCCCTGCCTAGTCTGGGAGCTACCGATGACTGAGTAACCTACATGCTCTGCCAAGCCCTTTTGTAAACACAGGGATGACCTACCTAAGGAGAAAGACTGGCAGACCATAGAATGGCTGGCATTTAAAAGTCAGATTTCATGTAAAAAGTTGACTTCAGCCTTCTCTTGGAACACTGGACCAGCGGGTGCCAAGGCCACACTGCTGAGAAGCTGTAGTGCTGAGCTCAGCAGTGACTGTCCGTTGAGGTAAGACATGCTGGTTCCACGCACCAGACTCTGTGGCTCCTATTTGTCTTATGTGTTTTGGGCCACAGGTGATTTAATATACGGAAGCACCTGTCACATAGGAAGTGCTGCATGTGTGTTTGCTATGGTCCCTGCAGGCACCCAACAGGGTTTGGCCTGGCCCTGAGGACCCTACAGTCCAGGAGCCTTCACAAGTTCCCACACAGCCCGCGTTAACCTCGCTAGGGAAGAGGCTGTCATAGGGTCTAGATTGCAGATGCAGGAAGATGGAGCCCCGAAGTTCTCCGGGGCTTCCCAACTTGCTTCTGTCTTAGAGACTCTTATCGATAAGCGATAACTTCTCGCTTCTGCACGGGGGCCTCATGCCAGCACCTCTGAACCCCATGCATCTCTCTCTCCAGGGCGGGTGGTCTGTACCTGGTAGGGGTCTGTGTTGAGATCAAAGTACTCGAGGAAGCCGGTTGCAAATTCACAGAAGAGGAAGTTGTGGGTCTCGTTGATTGTCCTCATGCACCAGTACGTGTTGTTGTTGGCGCTGGTGCAGGCACAGAAGGGCCCCACTGCCAAGGGAAGAGAGCATGCCCTGAGTGTGCCTGCAGGAGGAAACCCAGTCTGCCAGCAGGGATTCCTGTCCAGGACGGCCCCCTGAGCCACGGCCTGTTGGGAACACTTGTTGACCCCTGATGTTGTCAGGGAACCTGTTCCCGAAAGACCTGTAGGGTCTGGCAAGGGGGCAAGCTGAGGTCCTGGAGAAGCCCCTGCGGCCCAAGCTGCCCTGCTGGCCCCGGGCTGGCTCACGTGTCCAGAGAGGCGCGGTCTGCCAGTGCTGGTTGTCATGGGTGAAGCATGTGAGGCCTGGCATGCTGCACGTGTCGTTGTTCTGCAGGCGCTTGAGCAGCTTGCGAAGTTTCTTCTTGCGCTTCTGCTCCCGCAACAGCCACACCTTGTCTTTCTCCTGCAGCCCCTTCCTGTGGGCAAATAGGGCCACACCTCTCTTGGCCTCCCCACCTTGGAGCCTCCTAGGGGCCACTGACCCTGAACGTCTGCTCCTCTTGCCAGAGAGCTGTGAGCACAGCCCTAGAGGGACCCCCAAGTCCCACTACAGTTCCGAGGCATCACAGAGGTGGAGAGAATTAGGAGGCAGCTGGGACTCCGGCTCACACCAGTTTCTTGGGCCTGTGTCCCACCTGCATGGTGCGATTGCAGTAACCACTCCAGCCCCCGGGGGGTGGGGGGGGCGTTACTGGAGACCTCTGTTGATCTGCGAGTCAGTCCTGAGCTTCCCAGGGAAAGGCCAGGACTACTTTTCCTTGTTTTAGCCTAAGGAAGGGCAGCCTCTGTCCCCCCCCCCCCCCCGGGCCTTAAGCCACCCTTACCTGAAAGGATGCAGACTGGAGCCTTTGTGCTTGAGACGGCCTTTGTGCTGGGTGTGGTAACTGGAACAGAACCCAAACCCCAGGTTTCAGAAGCTGCTTACAGAACAGTTCTCCTGGCTGGGTACAAAGTGCGGTTCCAGGACTGTCCCTCTTTCTGATGCAGTGACAGGAGGGTATCTCACCAGTGCGGCAGCTCCCTGCCTGCCTGGCTCCTTCCTGCAAGTGTGAGCTGGGAACCCCCTAGCTGGAGGCTCCGGCCACACAGAGAAGGTTGGGATAGGTGTACGTCAGCCTAGGCTGGAAGCTGTGCCTGACTTGTGTGGCTTCAGCCTCCGCATCACCTGATGGTTGTCCCCACCCCCACCCACCTCAGGCTTGGTCAGGGCAGGGCCAGCCCTGGGGGCACCCATGTTTTACAATCCCTTCTGGGACTGTAGCAGAGATGCTACAGTTGGGCTGTCTGGTACAGTAGCCACATGTAGCTATTTCAGTTTAAACAAAACTATAAATTCAGTTCCTCAGTTACACTGTCACATTTTAAGTGCTTACGCGTGGTTGGTGGCCCCCATACCGGCCAGCAGATACAACCATTTCCATCACCGCAGAAGTTCTCTTGGACAGTGCTGCTCTTGGAGCGTAGACCCTGGGCCAAGGCTACCCTGGGCTGGTAATGGGACCTCCAGCCACACGGGCTATTCCTGAGGGGCAATCCACAGAGGCCCTCCCCCTCCTGGGAGCCAGCTTCCCTAGCAGCAGCCTGCCTGTCAGCAGTGCACGAACCTGGGCGGCTGGCTGGCTGGCTAGGGCGGGCAGGGGTGCCGGGTATGTGCCAGTGGCTGACAGTGGGGATGTGGATGACTGATCTGTTTTTACCCTGAGGGAGCAGACAGGAAGGGCAGCCTCTGTCTCTCCCCTGGGCCTTAAGGAGGTAAAAGTAATGGAAGGAGTCACAGAGGGATGCTGTGTTCCCAGGAGTGGCCCTACATGACTGCTCGGACCTTCCTGGGGTCTCTTTGCTGCCTCCTCACCTGATTTTGTGACAGTCACATTCTTCTGGCCGCTTTTTCTTCAGGTGACCTCGGACTTCCCTCAGGTTCTTAATTTTGTTTTGCAGGGTTTCGATCTGAGTGAGAGAGGAGGCTGTGAAACTCGGGGGGGGGGGGGGATGGGTTAGAAGGGGTGGCCCACATTTGTGGGTGCAGAGGGGGCTCCCTGGCTTCACCTGAAGTTACCAGACTCCCAGCAAAGAAACGAAGTAATTTTCCCATGTTCTGTGGGGACCTCTCTCCCCTGGGCCTGGCTTCACCCCCTCCCTCCCACCCCCGGTGTGGCGAGAACTGCTCCCCGCCCAGACTCGGGTCACCTCATGGTCGATGTGCAGCTTGTGGTCTTTCCAGGCCTGCAGGGACTTGTACAGGTCCAGGTCGCACTGCACCGTGTCGTTCTCTAGGATGTAGCACCTGCTCACGAGAAGGGATCACGTGATGTGTGGCCCTGAGAGGGGGGGGGGTGAGGAGGGCCCAGCCTGTCCTTTTGACCCCCAACCTCTGCCTGGACTCTCACCGATGTGTGACTTTTATGGGGTTGGGGACTGAAGAGTCCGGAAGGCCTCCGGTGCCACTGAAGTCCCCACCGTCCTTGTCTTCTTGGTCCTCTGGCCAGTGCCGCTTGGTAAGGTTGCGGGGCTGGGATGCCTCATCCAGACTTACATGGTGCACCTGGCCGTCCACCTCGATGGCCACTGAGCGGATGGAGCGATTACGGGCATAGCTGGCCTTGTACTCTGTGGGCATCAGAGGGTAGGTAGGTCAGGAGGGCCTGGAAGGCTGGCTGGGCGCCCTGGGCAGCAGGCCCTTGATGTGGGTGGTGCCACAGTTCCCCATTAAGAGGCTCCGTGTTGCCTGAGACTTGCAGGCTCAGGAAACCTGCCACCCAGGATGCAGGACTTGGGCCCAGGGGGAAGGACTCAGGCGAGTTAACTGGGGAAACGGAAGTCCTAGAGCTAAGAAGGAATTGGCATAAGGTAATCTCAAGAAAGAGCTATGACTGGGCAAACTGGTGCATCCATACCATGGAGTATTTGGCCATAAAGGGATGAAGCGATAAAACATGCAGATGGAATGTCCAAAACACTATGCTGTGTGGAAGGACCCAGACACAAACGATCACATACTGTATGAGTCTGTACGCAGAATAGGTGAAGCCTGAAACACAGCAGATCAGTGGTTGCCTTGGGATGGGGGAGAGGGTTAGGGTTTCCTTTGGGAGCAGTGGAAATGTGTCAGAACTAGAGGCGGTGGTTGCACTACACTGTGAGTGCATTAAGTGCTTCTGAATTGTATACTTCACAATTGTAAAAAAAACGATAAATTTTATGTTCTGCAAACTTTATCTCAATTAAAAAAAAGTAAAGTAGATGTAAAAACATAAAGGCGATTGAACCAGTAATCAGAAACCTCCCAAGGAACAGAAATCCAGGACCAGACAGCTTCACTGGTGAATTCCACCAAACATTCAAAAGAAGAAAGAACAAACTTGTCCAAAAAGTAGAAGAGGGAACACTACAGACTCTCTTTACGAGGCCAACATTATTCTGATGCTCAAACCAAAGGGCGCCACACACAAAGTTACAGGGCAGTATCCCTGATGAACACAATGCAAGAATCCTCAGCAAAATATTAGCAGACTGAATTCAACAATACATTAAATAATCACACACTATGATCAAATGGGGTTTTTCTAGGGATGCAAGGATGGTTTAATACCAGCAAATCAATGTGATACACCACATTAACAAAATGAAGGCTAACAATCATGATCTCAGTAGATACAGAAAAAGCATTTGACAAAATTCAACATCCATTTATGAAAAAAACTACCTGGTAAGGGCTTAATATCAAAAAATGTATAAAGACTTATACAGCTCTGGCTGGTTTGGTTCAATGGATAGAGCGTCAGCCTGTGGACTCAAGGGTCCCGGGTTTGATTCCGGTCAAGGGCACATGCCTGGGTTGCAGGCTCGATCCCAGTAGGGGGTGGGCAGGAGGCAGCTGATCAATAATTCTCATCATTGATGTTTCTATATCTCCCTTCCTTGATGTTTCTCCCCCTCTCCCTCATTGAAATCAATTAAAAAAATGTATCTGTAATACACACACAAACACACACACCTACATACACATGACTTATACAACTCAAGAGTAAAAGGACAATCTGATTTAAAAATAGGCAGAGGCCCTAGCCGGTTTGGCTCAGTGGATAGAGCGTCGGCCTGCAGACTGAAGGGTCTCGGGCTCGATTCCGGTCAAGGGCATTTACCTTGGTTGCGGGCACATCCCCAGTAGGGGGCGTGCAGGAGGCAGCTGATGGATGTTTCTCTCGCATCGATGTTTCTAACTCTATCCCTCTCCCTTCCTCTCTAAAAAATCAATAAAATATATTTTTTAAAAATAAATAAATAAAAATAGGCAGAGGACCTGAATAGACATTTTTCTGAAGAAGGCATACAGATGGCCAAACAGACACATGAAAATGTGCTCAGCAGCACTGCCCATCAGGGAAATGTAAATCAAAACCACAATGAAATATCACCTCATACCTGTTAGAATGGCTGTTATTAAATAGTCAAATAAGTGTTGGTGAGGATGTGGAGAAAAGGGAGCCCTCAGGCATGATTGGTTGGAATGTAAACTGGTGCAGCCACTATGGAAAATAGTATGGAAGTTCCTCAAAAAATTAAATAGAACTACCAGTTAACCCAGCAACTCCACGTCTCAATATTTATCCAAAGAAAATGAGAACGCTAACTTGAAAAGGTACATGCACCGCCATGTTCACTGCAACATCATTTCTAATAGCCCAAGTATGGAAGCAACCTAGGTGTCTACCGGTAGATACATATGTACAGTGGGGAACGTAAAAAAGTAAGTCTTGCCATTTACAACAACATGATGGGCCTTGAGGGCATTATACTCAGTAAGTCAGATAAAGATATACCATATGCTCTTACTTATAGGTGAACTCTAAAGCCACCACAAAACCAAAAACTCAAGCTCATAGATAACAGAGAACAGACTGGTGGTTGTCAGAGGTTGGGGGGTGAAGGGGGTCGGTCAACAGGTACAAACTTCCAGCTATAAAGTCTTGGGGATGTACTGTATGGTGGCTAAAGTTAATAACACTGTGTTGCGTATTTGTGAATGGACTTGGTGGACGTTTCGCAATATATACAAATATCAAATCATTATGTTGTAAGCCTGAAACTAATGTTGTCTGTCAGTTATAGCGCAATGAAACACAAACAACAAAACCCATGAATTTGAACTGGAAAAACAAAAGCCAGGCTGCACAGTCTCCCGGATGGAAAAGGGAGCGGCTTGGGGAGGGCACTTAGCTTCCCTGAGTCCCAGTTTTCCCAGCTGAGAGCAGGATGCTGCTCCTACCGGGTGGGCCGTGAGCTGGGACTGGAAGGTGCCTTTTCTAAGCTCTAAGCTGCTGAACACCGAGGGCATTCAGGCTAAAGGCAGAGCTCAGATTTGCAGCGTCACATCGCTAACACGAAGGAAAAGGGGGTGGTGGTCACGGAGGAGTGCAGATTCCCGGCTTCTGAAGAGAACCGGCTGGGCTTGCCTCCCTGGGGCCACAGCCCGCTCCTGGCAGGAGCTGACGTGCTGCCCCTGTAGACGTGGCAGTATGTTCTCAATTTGGCTCTGGCTCCCACCACGCCTTTCTGTTTTAAAACTGCACATCACCAAGTCCGAAACCCCTGCTGCCCTAGATGGCCATTGTTTTTTTAAAAATATATTTTATTGACTTTTTACAGAGAGGAAGGGAGAGGAAGAGAGATAGTTAGAAACATCGATCAGCTGCCTCCTGCACAACCCAGGCACATGTTCTTGACTGGAATTGAACCTGGGACCCTTCAACCCACAGGCCAACGCTGTATCCACTGAGCCAAACCAGGCAGGGCTGGCCATTGTTTTTGAGAGAAGGGCCTGGAGCCAGTCACAACTCAGGTTTCTGTTTGGCTCCACATGACCACCAGGTGGCGCCCAAAGCCTGAGGACTGGGTGGAGGCTGGCGGGAGGGAGGAGGGGATTCCTGCTCCCAAGTGGCCCCAGGCTTCCGGATCTGGTCTTGCTGCCCCCTCTCTGGGGACAGGTATTGGCACCTTTCATTTTTCAAACTCCGTGAACCAAAGGCTCTAGGCCCCAAGTCCAGGAGGGGCATTGCCTCTTCAGGAAAGCCTTGGGCCTTTGCTGGGCCTGGGCAGTTTTCTCCTTGGCTTTCCCCTCCTGAGTTCAGTCTCCCTGAAGCCGCGGGCTGGGCCCCTGGTGCACACCGTACTGAGCAGACCTCCCTGTGGGAACAGGTCACCTGCCTGAGGCCATGCACTAGACCCCCGGGTTCTCTCTGCCTTTGTCTTGCTTGCCCAGAGCCAGCTGCCTTGTATGTTCCCACCCTCCACCTCCAGCCACAAGCCCAGGGGTCCTCCAACTATCTGGCCTTCTGCCTGATGCTTAAATAAGCCGCTCATCTGGTCCCAGGGCGTTTGCTTGGACAGTGACAGAATTGGGTATTTGAGGCTGAGACCATTTAGCCTGCAAAGCCTCAAATATTTACTCTCTGGCCCTTCACAGAAGAGGTTGGCCAGCCCATGTCAACCTTTCCCTGGACTGAAGCCATGCCACTCACTCTCCCTGTCACCCTCCCGTCTGTTTCCAGGGCCCCTGAGATGCCCTCCCTTCGAGGCGTCCTGGGAACCCTTAGGCTCTGGAATCTAATGGCTCGGGTGAACCCTGGGCCGGGGCGGCCACCACGGGCCATGAGCTGTGTTCTTGCGACAGAACCTGCTTTACAAGGCTCTCTGGAGGATGACACGCAACAGAACCGGCACATTCTTCAGCGCCCGCTGCAGGCATAGAGCGGCTGGGCACTTTCAAAGCACAGGCGCTCTCCCATGGGACGACAGGCAGACGTCACTCTTCCCCTGGCAGCTGAGCTCGGAGGGGGCCGTGACCAGCTCGGTGACAGCTGAGTCTTCCAGCCACGTCCAGAGGACGTCTGCCCCCCCGTGCTGGCTCTCTAACTGCCTGTCCTCCAGCCCCTGCTGGGTGAGGTGCCTTTCCCCACTCCAAAACAGCCCACTGTCACCTGCAGTAACTATGTTCTGTAAAGCCACCGAGAACACAGACTTGCAGGCAGTAAACCCTGCTTCCAGCGGCAATGCGGGGCTGGATTCCTGGGAACCTCTGCTCACATAACATTATTTTAATCCTCACTTGAGGATATTTTTTCCATTGATTTTTTTAGAGAGTGGAAGAGAGAGAGGAGAAGGGGAGAGACAGACAGACATCCATTGGTTGCCTTCCACTTGCACCCTGACCCGGGGTCAGGGATTGAACCTGCAACTGAGGTACAAGCCCTTGACTGGGAATCGAACCTGTGAACCTTCGGTCCATGGGCCAATGCTCTAACCACTGAGAAAAACCAGCCAGGGCTAATGACACCTTATTTAATAAAATTACTAGAGGCCCGGTGCATGACATTTGTGCACTGGGGGTGGGGGGAGGGGGGCCCTCAGCCCGGCCTGCACCCTTTAGCAGTCTGGGAGCCCTCGGGGGCTATCCAACTGCAGGGAGTGGGCCCAAGCCGCAGTCGGACATCCTTAGTGCTGCCACGGAGGCTGGAGAGGCTCCCGCCACTACTGCTGCGCTCACCAGCCATCAGCCTGGCTTGTGGCTGAGCGGTGCTCCCCCTGTGGGAGCGCACTGACCACCAAGGGGCAGTTCCTGTGTTGTCTGCCCCCTGATGGTCAGTGTGTGTCTTAGCGACCAGTCGTTCCAACGTTAGGTCTATTTGCATATTAGCCTCTTTTTATATAGGATGTGCTGTTGATTCGTTAACACTGAGCTCATGGCCACCAGAGCTACAACTCACGCCTGCACAAGCTTGTCTGCCCCACGCACTTTCTCCATAAGGAGTGTCACAGCCTCCCTGCACTCAGGAACACGCCAGCACCTCGGCACTGCTGGGGGCAGTGCTAAACAGTGAGATCACAGGGAAAATACCCAGGCGTGAAAAGCATAACACCAACGAGACGTTAAGAGGTCCTGTGTAGAGTACGAAGCTGAGACGGACAGCACCTCTCGGCCTCCCCTGGGAGCGTGCACCCGGGAGACTCGGAGTTTTTGCGTCTGCACGTGTCCGCAAATGACCGTGACAGCATCTCAAGTAGTGACTTAGGGGCCACAAATAAGGCTTAGGGGTCGGCGAACTTGCAAACACGGACTCCATGAGCAGCGAGGACCGGCCCGTCAGCCTGCCCTAATGAGCTTCCAAGTCCCTTCTGGAGCCCACCCCCTCCTCCCTGTGGCCAGGCTCAGACAGGTGCCCTGCTGCTGCCGCCGCCCCTCCCAGCCCAGATGGTCCTTGAAAACACAAACCTGATCTTGGCTCCTTCTGAGAACCTGCGCTCTGATGTGATGGGCCCCCGGCATCCGCCGCCCCTCCCTCCTCTGCATCCCATCTTCACAGCACTCAGCTCTCCCGTTCTCTCTCTACTCCTGCCCTTCCCCACGGGGCCGGAGGATCCTCGGGGGCTTGGCTGTGTCCCCAGCCCCCTGGCTCTTGTGAGTGCCCGTGGAATCATTTCAATGAGCGAATCCCTCCCCTCGGTCCCCAGCGGCCCACACTCACTCTTCTTGAAGAGCTTTTTCCGGCGTCCGGCCAGGCTGAGCTGGTCGTCCCCGCCACTGTCGCAGGTGCAGGCCTCGCCGCCCTGCCCGTAGTACTTGGGCACCAGGTTGGACAGGGCGCTGCCACCGGGCCGCGCTGGGCCCTTACACTTGTGCAGCTTCAGCGTCCCCGTGGCGTCCTCCACACACTGCCACTTCTGCAAGTCACAGCGAGGCCTCAGGCTCCGCCCCCTTGCCCTCGCCCACCCTGAGAACTCCCCTCCCTGCCCTTGTGGGGACATGGGCTCACAAGGGCTGTGCTCCTGGAACTAGTTACTCAAGGACAGACACGTGTTGACTACAGAAGCACAGACATGGCACCGAGGGGGCACTGCATGGCTGTGGCTGAGTGTGAGCCCGTCGCAGGACGCACACGCAGGGAAGGGCGTTCCTAGAGGCACAGCTGAGCTCGGCGAGGCCACAGCACTGAGGGGGCGGCTGACCCAGCAGGATTAGGACTGCACTCCCAGTGGGTGGACATCTGGACAGGGATCCTGGAGGCCCTAGAGCTACAGGCCCAGGGGCCTTAGACGGGGGCTTCCCCAGCTGGTCTGGGCCCACCCCCCACCTCGGGTCTCTTCTCTTTGCAGCTAAGCCGTGCTCTAATGATCTGTTCTGAATTGCAGACGCATGCCCCTCCCCTGCCCTGGGCTCGCCTGACCTTTAACCTGCGGCACAAGATTTGACAACAATCCCAGGAGGCAAAGGCTCCCTGGCCTCATTGGCTGTTCCTCGTAGCTCAGAACCACTTGTGGGCTCTTGGCATAAATCCAAGGCCGAGCTCTCCCCAGAACGCCAGCTGCAGGAGGGCGCCACTTTCTGTGGATGGCATTTGAGGTTGTTGCCACGGTGCCTAGAACAGTGCCTGAGGAGCAGGCCTGGGTCACGTTTAGAGGGGCAGCCATTGGGAGGGAATGAAGGGTGGAGGGGCACCTGTCCCCAGCCCCAGGGCTGAGCCCCGCCTCCTCACCTGTCCCAGCTGCTCGCACGCGGTCTGGTACTCGGCCCGCTGGCACAGGTCTTTCACGCGCTGGTACTTGGGCAGGAAGTTCTCCTGGGCATCCGCCTTGTCACTGTCCCTCTTGTGGAGCAGCTTACTGTGGGGCAGAGAACAGGACCCAGGGCTGGCCTCCCGGCTCCGGAGCGCTTGGCCTCCCGACGAGTGTGGCGCCAGCCTGGCCCAGCCTGGCCACTCTCCCGATCTTTAAGGGACTGAAGAAGTGGGGGTTTCTATAAGAAACCTCCCCAAGTGCACGCGCTGGCAATTAACGGACACTGCGCAGGCAGCACCAAACATGTGGCCTCCAGATGCAAAAGCTGTGCCAACCACAGGAACAGCAGCAGATGCGCTTTCGTGGCTGAGGCTGTGGACACGAGAGCCAGGCCAGGCACCGTGGGAAGGTATGATAACAACAGACCCCCCTCCCCCAGCAACAGTGAGAACTTTCACACCGTGGGTGCAGGGGGGCTGCCAGAAGCGGCCTGGGATGTGGGGGGACCTGGGTGCTACTTGGCTCCAACGCCCTGGGTGGTTCCTCAGGACCCAGCACTCACCCTCTCTCTACCAGGAAGGAGTCCCGCCAGACCCTCATCTTCTTTTTCAAGTGAAACCTGGGGAAAAGCACACCTCCATCTTCTCATCAGTGTGGGGCCTCACATATCCCCGCCCCCTTCTCCCAGAAGCAGGATCGGTGCCCAGAGCCGCCTTGGTTCCCAGCCAGCACAGACCCCGGGGTCCCAGGGGAAGACGGGGTGGGCAGGGACGGGAAAGGCTTTGATGCCCCACCCTCCTGGGCAGAAGTTACACTCAGTCACGTGTGTGTCCAACAGCTCCCTTAGCACTGGGTGGCGAGGCTGCCTGACTTGGGGGGACTCACACTGTGTTTTGGAGGATGCCCTCCTGGACCCTCTGTAGCTGGATTTGGGTAATTTAACTGCGCTTGATGCTGGGTCACTCTCATTTCCATTTCCCAGACGGGCTCAGGCTGTGGCAGCTTCCATCCTGCACTGACTCCCAGGTACCCTGCTCCTCCCACCTGCCTAGTCCACACCCATGCAGCTTATAAGCCTCCCGGTCGGAGGGAAGGCTCAGCTGAGGGGGTCCCCTGCAGGGCGGTCAATGGGGACGGGCAGTGTCCGTCCAGCTCACAATAGGCGGCTTCCTGGGGCCATGAGCCCAGTGGACATTACAGTTTTGGCCACCAGGTGTCGCTGCTGCCACAGCAGTGGCTATGTCCTCCTGCTTTCCTGTCCCCACCAGGCTCAACTCACCTTCCCAGGTGCCTAAGTTTTGCTCCCCATCCCTGTTCCCCTTCCCGCCTCCAGACACCTAGGAACATTGCCATCCCGCCATCTGCATCAACGGCACAGAGCATGGCGACTGGGAGTGCAGCCTCTAGTCTGGAGTCTGAAAGCTGGAGCCGGAGCCAGACCTGCCCAGAGACCTCCGAGGAGTCACGTAACCTCTCCGGCATTCAATTTCCAAATTGGTCCCAGGGCATCAGCATAAAGCCCACCTCACTGGGTCATAAAGATCAAAATGACTAAATGCCATGCAAAGTACTCAGCACACGGCCTGGCCACAGGAAGTGCTGCATGAGAGTGTTCATTCCTGTTGTTTCAAGTTGAATACAAATTTAGGGTCTGCAACTGGTGGCCCTGGCCGTATTCCAGATGGGAGGCCAGAATCTTAGAGGGGGCATCCTTCTCTCCCAGGCGGGAAAGTGGTCGGGGTGGGGAACCCTGGAACCCCAGCTCCGGACGTGTGGAGAGGTCCCCCCACCAGACCCACACGGTCTGGCCACAAGTTTACGCAGGGGTTTGGGGGAGACCAGCGCCCCTTTCCCCTCCTCACCGATTCATGGGCCTCTCCGTGTCCAGCAGCTTCAGGATGGATTTCCCATCCATATCCGAGGGGATGTCCAGCCCTGCGATGTCCAGGATGGTGGGGGCCAGGTCAATGTTGAGGACGATGTGGGGGTTCCTTGGGGAGGCAGGGAGACCATCACTGAGGAGAGGGGCGGCTGGAGGGGTGGAGGTGGCCAGGGACTGGGGCCCTACAGGTAGGAAGCTGGGACCGTGCCACTCCCTGAATCTCAGCCCTTAGTGATCCTCTCTGTTGCCAATTCACCTGAACCCTGCCCCTCTACCCCCCTTACCTCTGTGCCCCAGACACACACAGGGGCTGGATTCACAGGCCACACCTGGCTGTCTCTTCAGCCAGGAATGCCCTCTCTGTTCCCAATATCCGAACAAAAGGCACCCACCCTTAAGAGCTACCCCAAACCCAGGGCCTTCCCCTGGACCCTTCTCCAAACCTCTGAGGGCAACACCGGCCCCAGTGCTGCCCCTGACAGCCAGGCACAGTCTGGCCTCAGGGCCTTTGCTCTGGCCAGAATGTTCTTTCTCCAGATACCAGCACAGCACTTTCCCTCTTTCCCTTTAGTCCCAGAAAAACCCCGTGACAGACTATGTGGTCCGGTGACCCCCGGCCCTGGTGTTCACACCTTTGTGGCCAAGGCAATAGAACACAGCAAGGGCAGCTGGTGTCACTCCATGCTCACGTTACGTGCTACGTGACTGCCTTGCTAGTGCGTCTCCCTCGTCTCTCACTGCAGGAGCAAGCTGCCATGGCGCCGCCCCCAGCAAGGACACTTGGGGAACAGTCCGGGGGGAAGGCTGTGTGAGTTCACGTCCGCCGCCGGCACTTGCACAACCCGTGAGCGAGGACGTGGGGCACGTGACAGGCCAGTGACTGCCATCCTCCGGCTTCTGTGCAGACCACTGTTGGGTTTTGTCAGCCAGATGGCTGACAGTCACGGTGACTCTGCCACCACAGAACGCACCCGAGAATGAAGCCAATTCACATAAAATAGGGCCGACAGATGGAAAACGAGAGCTGCCTGCGGGGACTGTGGGGCTGCTGGATCCAGCCGTGCCTGAAGCCAGAGCTGGCCTTGGACTTCCCGGTTACTTTAGTCACTGCATCCCTTTATCTTATTTAGTCTTGTCCGGTTTGATGGTCACTTCTGCTTGCAACCAAAGGAGCCCAGGCTGACAGATACTCTGTGTGTCTTCAGCCCCAAACCTGACATTGGCCCACTCTCTGTTTTGTCAGCATGGGGTTGTGGTTTGGGGTCCCGTGAACCGGATCACAGACTCGGACGCCAACCAAACCCGTAATGCCAGCGCCTACAGAGCCCTGGCAGGCCTCATTCTTCCTGTTCACGGGGTGACGCAGGGGTTCTGAGGGAGCATGGAGTGGCAGACAGGAGCACGTGACCCCGGGCAATGCAACCGCGGGGCCTCAGTTCCCTGAGGGATAAAAGGGATGAGAACAGCCTCAACCTCACAGGGTTGCTGTTATGCTCAAAGGAACACAGGGGTGGAAGTGCTTCGCCCTGGGCCCGAGGAATGAGCGCTACAGAAACAGCTACTATTATAGCTCCGATGACAGGTGGGGACCCTGAGACCAAGGACGGGGAGGGATGTGGTGCGGTCGGCAGAGGAAGAGGGATGAGGCCGGCCTGCCTCCGGAAACGGTCCCCAGGCGTCCACGGTGGCGGGACATCTCAGTCCCTGCCGGGCAAGGCTGCACCTTTCAGGAGGATTCCGCAGCGAGCCCGGTTGGTGCCGTGGGTCCTGTCCGGGCTCCGGTGGAAGTCGGACCAAGTGACTTAATAGCAACTCATCTGCATCTCAAAGAGCCACTTGAGTTGATGTCCCTGAGGTCCCCGTGGATCCGGGGAGGCTGCTGCTGAGATTCCCGGCCTCCCACCTCTCCTGCCCCCGACGTGGCGTTTCTGGCTGGCAGACGCGGCATCCCAAAGGCTAACCCATGGAGAAGGCTGGCCGAGGGCCACGTGGTCCCCGAGGAAAGATGGCAGGGGAGCCAGTTTACCTCTGCGCTGCGGCCTGAGCTGCTCGGCCGACCATACGACACCCCCATCCCTTCACCCCGGCCGCAGGATCCCTCCCGACGTCCACCAGCCCCAGGGGCTCCCAGCCAGACAGAAATCAAGGCGGCATTCCCACCGCTGGCGGCACAGGGGCCAGCTCCGCGCTCCCCTGGCACACTGCCCGCCACAAACATTCTGTTTTCACAGGTGCTCACGGCTCCTGGCCCCTCCTCCCTAACAGGCGTCTACAATGCGTCAAAATCCACCCTAAGTGACACGGTGGTTGTTTCACTTGGCACCGAGGCTCACCTGCCCGACGGGAGCCACCGGGGCGTGGGCGGGCTGCACGGCTGAATGCCGGCCTCTTGTCTGTCTGGGTGCCCGCGGAGCCTCGAGGCCTCCCTGGGACTTTGGAGCCGCGGGGGCAGGGGTGGGGGCACTTACAGCGAGCCGGCCTCCACGTTGGGGCCTCGCACGTAGAAGGGGACCCTGATGTCAAACTCGTACGGCATGGACTTGCCCTTCACCAGGCCGAACTGGCCGATGTGGTAGCCGTGGTCGGCGGTGTACACGAGGTAGGTGTTGTCCAGCTCGCCCGTCTCCACCAGCATGTTGTAGATCTGAGACACAGGGAGCAGGTGAGGGCCCCGCCCGCCGTCCCCCCGCCTGCGGGGTCTGAGGCCTCAGGCCCTTCCCTCCCCTGCTTCAGGTCCTCGCTCAGCCGTCACCGCCCAGCGGCCCGAGGCTGGGCCAGTTATAGCTGCAGCCTCTCCACTGCTGGTCACTCTCGGTCCCCTTAACTTTTCTTCACAGGGCTCCTCGCCTTCTCTCTCCCCCCCTTATTTGTGGGTTGTGTGCCCCTGCGTGAGAATGTAAGCTCCATCAGAGCAGCGACTTCTGTTGCTCACAAATGCTGATGAACGAATGAATGAATGAATGAATGGGTTGGATGTGGCCGTGGCAGGAGCCTGCGATCCGCCACGGTGTGTCCAGCAGAGCCCTCTGTGACGCCGCAGTGTTAATTTCTGTCCTGTCCTCCAGCCACAGGTGGCTGTCGGGCACCTGACATGTGGCTGGTGTGACTGAGGGACTGAATTTTAAATTGTGTGTGTTGTACGTAAATTTAAATAGCCGTGGATAACTCGAGTATGTGCCCTATATCCACACCGTGGGATATTACTCAGCAGTAAAGAGGAATGAAGCGCTGATAGCGCCACCATGTGGCTGAACACTGAAACCTCATGCCAGTCACAGGAGGGCAAATACTGTGTGAACCCATTCACGCGAAATGTCCGCAAATCCAGATACTGGGCGGACTACTGGCTGCCAGGGATGAAGGGTGAAGGGGGTGCTAGAGGGGGTGGCTAAGGGCGGCGGGGTTTCTTTCTGGGGCGATGAAAATGTCCTAAAGTTGACTGTGGTCCTGACCACACAAGTTTGCAAATATGTGAAAACCACCGACCTGCACGCTTTAACGGGGTGAGTCGTATGGTATGTGAACTGAACCTCAATAAAGCTGTTAAGAAAATGGCAATGGCCCCACAAGCCACATGTTGAACAGAACAGAGCCAGGGCAGAAAGGACGGTCTCAGCCACTCTCCCCGGCCTGGGGTGGTGCCTGGGTTCTGCCTCGTTTCCCATTCTTCTCCAGCGGGTGACCCTCGGGACGGTGCAGGGCAGGGAGGGTCAGCAGGGAGGGGGTGCGGGGGGTGGCGGCCTACCGTCTCCATGGAGTCGTCCACGGACATGAGGGTCTGTAGGCGCTTCCGCTGGAGCATGTTGGTGAATTCCATGTGGATGGGCTTCATGGGCCCCGTGTAACGCATGATCCAGTGCTTGTCGGGGTTGGGCGCGTAGTTGTAGCTTGGCGTGCTGGCGGGCAGACACACACGCAGTGGTCAGGCGGGGACTGGAGGGGGGTGCTGGGCCGGCCCCCAACCCACCCAGGCCATGAGCGAGCGCTGGCCCTGAGCGGTCTGCAGCCCAGCAAGGACACCCCCGCATCTGGGGGAAGCGGACGCTGGTGTCAGGGACTCGGCTAAATGTTAGGTCGGCCTTTCTCCTCTGTGGGGCGCCACGGGGGAAGACCTCAGGAGGCCTAGCGTCAAACAGTGTGGAGCCACAGACGCAGAAAGCCCCTCCCATGCCGCTGTCAGCGCACCCGGACACCAAGGCCAAGGGTCTCTGGTGTCCATCTTCCTTGAACACCTGTCTGGAACCTGCCCCTTCCCCTTTTTAAAGCAGGAGAGAGGCTCCGTGCGGAGCCTCCAGCAGGCACAGCCCCCAATTCTAATCCACCAGGACGGCATTCACTTTCCAGTTACCTTGGGTAGACGGCAAGCGACAGCTATCACGGTTAAGGCGCGACGACCGAATTTCCCTTTGCAATAGATTTTGGTTCAAAAAAGGGAAGCTGATTACAAAATTAGGTTAGTAACAGCCATGCCCGCGCGGCCAGCGCTGTGAGGATGGTGCCTGACGTGTGCATTTGGGACAACCACACTGTGACTTGCTGTCACGGCTATTCCTCCCTTTGGTCAGCTCTCCCATTTACAAGAGGAGGAGCGGAGGGTCAGAGGAGTCTGGGTCCTGCTGGTGGACGGGGTGGGTGTGATCAGCTTCCCTTTTTTGAGGATGAGGAGGCCCAGGGAGGGGACTACCTGGCCAGAGGCAGAGCTCCGGGAGCGGGTCAGGTGGGCCAATGAGCTGTTATCAGAAACCCTACCCGCCCCCCCACTTCCCGCTGCCCCTGCCCTGGGCCTGACTGTGGACACTCACGTTTGAGCAAAGCTTCAGCCAAGAAATTCCCACTGGGAGAACATGTTTGCCAACGATATCACCGATAAAGGGTTTAATCTCCAACGTTTATAGGGAACTCATACAACGTAACAAAAGGAAGATAAACAACCCAATCAAAAAATGGGCAACGGACCTCAATAGACACTTTTCGAAAGAGGACATTCAGAAGGCCGAGAGACATATGAACACATGCTCAAAGTCACTAACCATCCGAGAAATGCAAATCAAAACGACAATGAGGTACCATCTCACACCTGTCAGGATGGTTATCATTAACAAATCAACAAATGACAAGTGCTGGTGAGGATGTGGAGAAAAAGGAACCCTTGTTCACTGCTGGTTTGAATGCAGACTGGTGCAGCCACTGTGAAGAACAGTATGGAGTTTCCTCAAAAAACTAAAAATGGAACTCCCATTTGACCTAGGGATCCCACTTATAGGAATATATCCCAAGAAACTAGAAACACCAATCAGAAAGGATATATGCACCCCTATGTTCATAGTAGCACAATTCACCATAGCTAAGATCTGGAAACAGCCTAAGTGCCCATCAGCAGATGAATGGATTAGAAAACTGTGGTGCATCTACACAATGGAATACTACGCTGCTATAAAAAAAAAAGGAATTCTTACCATTTGCAACAGCATGGATGGAACTGGAGAGCATTATGCTAAGTGAAATAAGCCAGTAGGAGAAAGATAAATATCACATGATCTCACTCATTTGTGGACTATAATGAACAACATAAACTGATGAACAAAAAACAGATCCAGAGACAGAGAAGCATCGATCAGACCATCAAACCTCAGAGGGAAGGTAGGGGAGGGTGGGGGTAAGGGGCAGAGATCAACAAAGGACTTATATGCAAGCATATAAGCCTAACCAATAGACACAGACACCAGGGGGGTGAGGGCATGAGTGTGTGTGGGGGGGCAATGGGGGAATAAGGACACATGTAATAACTTAATCAATAAAGAAAAAACAAGGAAATATACACAATACTATTCAAACTTTAAAATATCATATATTTATCAAGCACATACTTAAGAGATAGATGATAGATGGCTTCTTTGAAACAAATTTATGTGCAAAGATTCAAAATAAAAAATGCGAAGCAACTCAAAATATTAAAAAAAGAAAAGAAATTCCCACTGGGGATTAGGCAGCACAGACACCCGGGCCTATTCAGTCTGGGGCCTCGGAAGTTTGATTCCAGTAACATTCTGTCCCAGACCAAGAACCGCCCCCCCTCCCCCCGCGATCTGCGCTACTGGAAACCCCACCCACACATGGGGGTCCCGGTGGGGGCCATGGAGAGAAGTGCTCTATTTAAACCCCACACAGTGGTGTCCCTAGAACTGACCGCACTCAGTCCTCCCCATCATGCCCCTCCCCAGGCAAGCTGCACACAAAGGCTGAGTTTCCAGGGCTCAAGACAAAGGCCTTTCAGAATGGCAATTAAGGGGCAAAGGGTTGCTGGGGGGTAGAGGAGGGAGGCACACAGGTCTGGTCAGAAACTGAGCTCCCTTCCCTGCAGACCAGACCACCATCGATGGGTGGATGGGTGGATGGGTGGATGGGTGGATGGATGGATGGGTGGATGGACAGCCTCCTCAACATCAGGATGAGCTGGGGCAGAAGGAGCAGCGCTGGGGCCAGCAGCCTGACAGTTGTGGAGACGGTTGCTATGCAGAGTGGGTGAGTCACAGCCTCCAGATTCCTGCTGGATGTCGCTGTCAGCCCTGGCTGGTCTCCTGCCGCTAAATCCAACCCGGCCCAAGGCCCCTTTGATGAGGAGCTCGGCTGCGCTCCTGCGGGCTGGCCCGGGGCCTGACCTGCGTGTAGAACATTCCCAGCAACAAGCTCCCTCCACCCCTCCAAGGAGCTGGAGGGGGCGCTGGCTGCACAGAGCCGCTCTCAGAGCTGCTGGGCGTGTGGGAAACCAATCCCCGCAGGCCCCTGGGCGCATTCCAGGAGGCGATTCTGAGCACTCGCCCCCCCTCCTGCCCTGAATCTATTAGGCCGCTGTCTGTCCTGGAGACCAGGAGGGGCGTCTGTCAGGAGTCTGTGGAGGCTGAGCCCAAAGCCCTTTCTCTGAAGCAGAGGCTGCAGGGCCAGGGGCGGCAGAGGCCAGGCTTCCTCAGAGCCCAGCAGACTGCTGCTCGGAGCTGCCACCCTCACCTCCTCGAGAATCCCAGGAATGTCTGTGTGCACAGCAGGCCTCGGGGAGGAGCCCCCTCTGCTGGGGGCGGTGGGAGGGTGACTGCCCTGCAGCCCCGCACCCCAAGGCTGGGAGCCGGTCTGGCTCCCCTGGGTTAGACAAGGAGGCCCCTGAACCCACAACCAGAGGCCACGCTGGAAACACAGGCGGGGGCTGGTGTCTGTGTGCGTGCATCCGTGTGCGTGTTTGTGTTCCTGCGTGTACATGCCTGTATGGTGGTGTGTCTGCCTGTGCGTGTTTGTGTGTATGTGTCCGTTGGGTGTCTGTCTTTGTGTGTCTGTGTGGATCTGTATCCCTGTGCAGATCTTTAAGTGTGTGTCTCTGTGTCTATCTCTGTATGCGTCTGTATCTGTGTTAGTGTGTACAGGTTTGTGCGTGCACTTGTGTAACTGTGTGTGTCTGTGTATGTGTCTGATCTGTGTGTATCTGTGTTTGTGTGTCTGATCTGTGTGTATCTTTGTGTATGTGTGTATCTGTGTTTGTGTGTCTGATCTGTGTGCATCTGTGTTTGTGTCTGATCTGTGTGTATCTGTGTTTGTGTTGTGTCCGTGTGTGCATATGTTTGGACCTTTGCGTGTGTGCTTGGGAGGGAAGGGGGGCGACATGGCGGCAAGAGCGTTTCTCAGCCCCAGGCCTGGCCCAGGCCCAGGCTCAATGGGGAGTCTGCTGGGCCTCCGGTAGGAAGATCTGGAACTCCGACCCAACCTGCAGGGCTCTGTCCCCCACCCCCCAGACCAGCTGCAGAACTTTCTGGTTTTGTTTTAGAAATGATTACACCCCAGAGATAAGCGAGCCTTCCAAACACACCCCTAATAAGGCGAGGGGGTTCTCTGGGTAAGTCATAGCAGGCGCTGCTCATGTTCAATTTCTGTGATTTTCATTTCAAAGGGAAGATAAATGAGCAGGCAAGTCAAACAATCTCCTGACGCACCAGGGCTGCTGGGGGGGGGGGGGGGGCAGGGGAGGGGGCTGCCAGCACCTTTTAAAGGAGAAGCCACAGAAGCAGTGGGCCCTCCCACCCCACAGCTTCTCCCTTAGGTGGGACTGAGCTGGCCACAGGGCCCTCTTGCCAAGGGGAGCGTCAGTGGGGTGGGTAGAGTGTGCTGGGGGGCAGTGCTGCCCTCTAGGGGGTGCGGGCAGCTCATTCCGACAAATCCTTCTCCCCAGAGCCCAGGGGACAGAGGCTCCCACACCCCTGACCCCACCTGGGTGCTGCCGGAAAGCAGTTACAGAGGGGCCGAGGGGAGCCACGCATTCTGAGTTCAGGGAACATGAAACACCAACGTGCCCGTCCGTGCGCCCAATTCACAGCGAGGGCTGCCGAGTGGCTCCGCTAAGTGGGAGGTGGCCGGAGGCGGAGAAGAGCAGAACCTGCCGGGAGATCTGCTGTCCAGCTGGAGGGAGGAGGACGGGAGGGTGAGCGAGAGATGGGAGGTGGGAGTGGGGGCTGGATGCGAGTCCTGGCGCTGCCACTGACCAGCTGGGCCGCCGGAGGGAAGTGACCTCACCTCTCTGGGCCCCTGGCTCCTGGCCTGCCAGATGGGATCCCACCTGTGACTGAGACACAGCCTCCAAGAGAGCCCTCCACGCCCCCTTCCTGGGAGTCACACGGCAGGAGCGTGACTGTGTGACCGACAGCCCGTGGCAGAGCGACGGTGTCACAGCCCGAGACTAGGTTACAAGAGGCGACGGCGGCCACCTCAGCCTCCCGCCGCCTCCCCATCCACCTCTCCCCATCTCGGTCTCATCTCCGGAGGAAGCCCTGCTGCTCTGCCGAGAGGGGGGTCGAGGAGCCGCCATGGGGTGACCAGGCAGCGGCAGGCGCTGCAGCCCCCGCATCAGAACCTCCCCCAAGGCCACTCCCCGTCACCTGACTCCAGACTCTGAGCTCACACACCGTCGCTAGAGCTGCTGGGTCTCAGGGGAATTTGTTAACTAGCATATCAAGGCTCCTTGTGAGTCTGCAGTGACGTGGTGCGTGTAACGGGCTCAGCATCGAGCCTGGCACCTGGCCGAGGCTCAGGAGGCGGCGGAGATACTGGAGTCCGATGACGCCATGGACCCTTCCCAAGAGCAAGTTGTGAAATGGACAGGATTACCAAGGAGACCCGTTCTCCTGAAGTGCAGGTCTAGCCAGCCACAGACCCGCCCGTAGGAGGATGTGGGGCCCGAGTTGACAACCTGCCTCTTTGGATGTGAGCCCCCTTTCCCCGCAGGGAGCAGTGTCCGGGCTCGTGAGCCCCGTCTGTCACTGCCGTCAGTGACAGCGGCCCTCCCACCGCCATTCCCGCCAGGGCCCCGCGGCAGGTGCTGCTCACATGTGCTGGGACGCGTTGGGGAAGAGGCGTGAGTACTGGGGGGCCGAGTCCTCGGGGCCGTGGGGGGCTGCGTGGCTGATGACCATCAGGACGGGCCTGTGTGGGTACATCTTCTTGGACGTGCGGAAGAAGCTCACGCTGTCGTTGGTGATGAGGTCTGTCAGGTAATCCTGGGGGGCGTGGGAGACACGGGAGAACGCGTGAGGAGCCCCACATGCGTACGGAGCACCCGCCGTGTGCCAGGCTCCGCTGGGCATCGGGACACAGCAGCGCCAAACTGGTCGGTCCCTCCCTGTGGGGCTGACCGTCTAGGGAGCAGACAGGTAATACGTCAGCAAAAACCGGGCAAGTCAAGTGGTGCTGTGCTCAATGGAGAGAAGGTTGGGGAGGACGGGCGAGGGACTGCCATTTGTCATTCACTCGGGACAGGCATTAAAACATAACAGCTTATTCCGCGGGTGCCGCTGTGCCAGGAGCCGCTAGTGTTTCCTTGGATCCGCTTGCTGAATTCTTATACAGCCACAGGAAGTGTGTGTGACGCGAGCCCTGTTTTCCAGAACAGGAAGTGAAAGCACAGAGAGGTTATGTGACGACGTCACACAACGGGGGAAATGCTGCCACCAGGCCTCCCTGGCCTGAGTCTTTCCCCAGCATTTCTGCAGGACCTGGGGTAGGAGCAGATGAGCAAGTAAACAAAAAACCAAGACAGTGACAGGGTTATAGTGACAGATGTGCCAGTGAACCAGGGGCTGGGCTGGAGGGGTGCGCGTTAGCTGGGGCAGTCCAGGAGGGCCTCTCTGAGGAGGTGACATCTGAGCTGAGACCTGAGCGATGAGGAGCCAGGCCTGGGAAGATCTATGCCATCGGGGTTCACCTTCGCTGCTGGAATCCTTAGGGGAGCTTTACCGATGCCTGAGCCCACTCCCAGAGTTTCTGGTTCAATTGTTCAGCCCGGACATCGGACTTTTTAAAAGCTTCCCAGGGGGTTCCAATGTGCAGCCAGGATTGAGAACCTGATCTAGGGAAGAGTTCCAGGCAGAGGGAACAGCCAGTGCGAGGGCTCAGAGGCAGGAATGAGCTTGCCTCGTGTGTGAGAACAGAAAGAGGATGGGCAGGGGCAACGCAGGGATGCGCCAGGGAGCAGCTCCGAGGCATGCACAGCGAGACCCGCTTACACCCTGGGCGGCAGGAGAGCAGAGCTGGAGGCACAGTGACGGGCAAGCTCGGCCAAGGAGGCGAGATGCGTCTGAACTCTTCCTGAACTCGGCCAACCCTTAGCTGCTGATCTCTCTGGCAGGTAATGAGTTCTTGAAATGTGCCCACTGCTTCCTAGGAAGCAGCTCTGTCCAAATGGGTCACTTTCAAAAAGGGACACTATTTTAGAGGGAAGGAACCTGACTAAACGGCATCAACTGTGCCCTGAGCTGTACTGTGTGATACACACACACCACGGCTGTCCGCAGGCATCTGCCCCAGGGACACACGCACACTGCACCTGTGCACAAGGCCAGCCACTGAGGTGGTGTCGATGGAGCAGTGACCAGCAACAGGGAGAAGACCAGTGGCACACACTGTGGTCCTACTGTGCGGGCTGCGCAGACATTAAAGGGCAGCTGACCTGTAGTCGCTGAGGTGGAAAGTTGTACAGACACACTGTTAGGAGAAAGTGTCAAACCCAGAGCGGTGGGAGAAGCCAAACCCCGACCTTCACAGGCACCAAGGAAGGACCCTGAAGGGCAGTCCTCCAAGCGCTAACGGGGACTGTGAGGAAGCGGGGGAGACACTGGCTACTTGAGGTGCTTTTCCTTGAGTCCTTTTTATGATTAATCTTAGGAGCACAAAAGGGTTGTATAAGGGGGCCTGCAGAAGCTATTACATCAAAACAACGTGACGTCAATCGAAGAAGTGCTGGTCTAGTCGTGGAACATGACCTAAAGGTGTTAGAAAAGCTCTGGAATGAGAAAGGTAACTAACAGTGGACCTAAAAATGGTGCAAAGCTCGTGGGTGAAAAGGAGAGGTCGGACCCCAGCAGGAAACCAACAGTCAGTGCCCCGAGGATGGATCCAGAGACGCAGTGAGATCCCGGGGCCACCAGCTTGGCTTGCTGCCTCCGGCCAGTGGGGTGGGTGGGAGAAGGGCTGAGGAGCTTCTTAATAAACCCACCATCACTGTTCGATTCTGGAGCTACATGCCTGAGCCAGAGCCAATGAGGTGCAATGGGACTGCTGGGAGTCCCCAAGGGAGACTCCCACGCTTGCAGCTGGGCCGGAGGCCGAGAGGACGGCCGGATTGCTGCTGGGAGGGGAGAGAGTCCATCTGTGAATGGGGTCGGAGGGAAGAAAAGAGCTTAGAGGGGAGAGAAACCACTGCCTGAAGACATTTGAGCCCCTGGCCCAGCTCCGTCCAGTGCTATCACTGCTGGGTCAGTTCAATACGTTTCCTCGTCAACTGGGCCAGTCCGAGTTACCTTTCTGGTCACAAACAACTGAAAGAGGACAGTCTGATTCAAGAAAGGGTAAATCCTGCAGTTTAGGGCAATCCAGGAAGACTTCCTGGAAGAGAAGGTAGGTAAGACTTGGATAAATTCAGGGCAGGAAAGCACTAGCAAAGATTTTCAGGTGGTTGTAATAACAGGCCAGCTAGGTATGGTTGAAATGGCTCATACTGGGGAAGACAAAATAGGAGACATGGCTATTATGTTTGTGTATATGCACGTGCGCGCGTGCGCACGCGCACACACACACACACACACACACACACACACACACACACATGTGTTTCTAGACTGTGGTGTGGCTCACCCTTGGCTACCCAGCACCTGGCACAGAGCTTGGCACTGAGAAGACTCTCAATAAATAGTTGTTGAGGTAACAAATGAATAATGTAATCAAATTCAACTAGTCCACTCACCTTCTATGATTGTTGTGAAGACTAGATACACAAAGCACCCTGCACAGCTCCTGGGCCATACAGGTACACATTGTTAGGATGCAAGGGCGTGCCCATTTCCCAGATCTGGGAACTGAGGCTCTTAGGAGCAGGCAGCATAACCAAGGGCACATAACACATGTCAAGAGTGGGCTCTGAACCCTGACTCACTGCCCAGTCCTGGAGGGCGGGTGGAACAGTGCAGGGGCTGCAGGGGCTGCAGGGCTTACCTTGGAATAGTCAAAGCCGTGCTTCTCCTTCATCCCGTTCCGACAGAGCGTGTAGTTATAAAAGCGGGAGTTTTTAAGGAGGCCGACCCACTCCTTCCAGCCCGGTGGCACGTAGGAACCGTTGTACTCATTCAGGTACTTCCCGAAGAAAGCTGGAGGGGAGGAGGGACCAGGAGGCCACGTGAGAGAGCAGTGAGCAAAGCCTCGCGAGGCGCCGCCCACCCTCCCTGCGCCCAAGGCCTGAAAACAGCTCCATCCTCGGAGCCTGGGGCCCTGAGGGAGCAAGCGACGTCTGTGCCCCCTTCTGAATGGTTTCATGTGCATAAAACAGAATGTGCAGGATTACAGAGAAAGTCAATTATTCTGAAATATAGTTACCAACATATTAAGATATTTTACCATAGAATCAAAGGTGTCTTTAAGAATGATTTTTAATGAAGGCAGTAAAAGCAAGGCACTGTCGAGAGTGATAATTTCAGAGTAGCGATGCATGGACATCTTTAGCGTAGCTGAGGGTAAGAAATGGACAATACCAAGTGTTGGCGGGGATGCGGAGCAACGGGAACGTGCATGTACTGCTGGCGGGCGTGTAAACTGGTCCCACCGCTGAGAAAGACGGTTTGGCAGTGTTGGCTAGCCTTGGACCTAGTCATACCTCATACAGTTCAAATCCTGGATATTTACTCAACAGAACTGCATTCATTCCCGATCACCGGAAGTCGCGAGCAGGACAGGCGCCCGGCAGCAGCCGTCACCGTGGCCCTCAGAAAGAAGCCCGCGTCCTCCAGCCTCGCCTTGGTCAGAATCATCCAAGTGCCATTTGGGCTTCCGTTTGCTGACTCCTTAGTTTTATTCTCAACTGGTTCAGAACTTCCACAAGGAAGAAGGCGAAATTTAATAAGACCCCTCACAGAGCCCTGTCACTGTCTAGTCACGGTGGTGATGTAAAAGTTTGCCTTTGAAATAAAGGAAGTAAAAAGAATAAAACAGTTGAGAGAAAAATATTTAAACAACAGAGTCTGTGTGCCCAGACCTGGTAAAAGTCAATAGATCCACTTAACAACGGTTTATTAAACACCCATGGTATGGCAGGAGCTGTCCTGGGCACCGGAGACAGCAGCGAGCCCAGCAGGAACCCTGCCCGCACGGCGCTGACGTCCGAGTAGAGGGCTCTGACAAATCCGGATGGTGCTGCTGGTGATAACAGCGATGAGACAACAGCCCGGCCGGCGTGGCTCGGTGGTTGAGCGTCAACCTATGATCCGGGAGGTCATGGTTCAAGTCCCCGTCAGGGCACATGCCCGGATTGCGGGCTCGATCTCCAGTGTGGGGCGTGCGGGAGGCAGCTGGTCCATGATTCTCTCTCATCACTGATGTTTCTATCTCTCGCTCCCTCTCCCTTCCTCTCCGAAGTCAATAATAACATGTCAAAAAGGAAATAAAGGATGATGACGTGACAAAGTGGCAGAGACAGAGATGGCCCCCTGGGGGCACCACTGGGCCAGGTGGTCAGGGAGGCCTCTGTGAGGGATGATGGGAGTGAGTCAGAGCGAATACAGGAATACAAGGAGAACTGCTTCCGGCAGCGGGAATAGCAAGTGCAAAGGTCCTGAGGCAGGACAGAGCTGGGGGCATGTGAAGAATCCCGGGAGGCCAGCGAGGGAGGGAGGAGATGAGGTTACAGGGTGGCGGGACCCGGGGGGGGGGTCGGGGGGGCCAGGGACTCCACAAGGAGGAGAAGCAACGGGAAGCATGGTGGGGATACTTAAGCGGAGCACACGTCCTCTGAAACATTACACGCCGGGCTCCGCCTTCTGCGTCCATCTTCCTGGGAGCAGGGCCTCTGACGTATTCCGAAAGGAACCCAGGGCACGAGAACTTAAGCAGCACAGAACCTCACTGTTCTGAACGCAGCCCTGGAGAAAGGGGCTGAGTTCTCCCCCCAGGACTTCCACGCCCCTGGCGTGGGATCGACTGGTTTGTTCCTGAAGATGTGGGCCAAGGTCTTCCTGATACGTGTGCCGTGTGGAATGCTAACAAGCTTAACTCCCTGGCCCGGCTGGCGAGATAGCGATTCCTTGGGGGCGGGAAGTGGGGTGCCTGCGGAGGCCCAGCCCTGCCCGTTATTGTCCAGTGCCATGGGTGTCAACGTGTCCGGAGCTGCCTCCTCTGCTAGAATCTCCTCCTTCACATCTCTCCCTCCTCTCCAGCCCTCAACCCTGAAAAAACCCAGAAGGAGTGTATTATCCAGGCTCCACATGGCCCTGGAAAACAGGGCTTCAGTCAAAAGCTTTTAGTGCCAAATTAGATTTTGTTCTCATTTGATTAGATTTCCCCAAGGCAGTTTTTAAAATGGTTATTCTGGCACCAGATGAGGTGGGACACGCAAATCAGTGTGGGCCCAGGGCTGCGGGCGGGGACACGGAGCCAGGAGGGTGAGCAGGAGTGAAAGTCAAGATGAAAAATACAGCCGTGCCGTGGCTGATGTCACTGAGCTCTCCCGGCGAGGGTGGTGCCAGAGGAACAGCAAACGGGGCTGGCGTGGGGGGCGGAGCAGCTTGGCAGGCAGATTACGAGGAATGAGATGAGGGAAAGGCCACTGACAATGTGCTGGCTGCGGCTGCCCCTGGGAAGCAGGGCTGGCATCAAGGGAAAAGGCGGAGGGAGCAGGTACTGCCTCCGGGGTGCCAGGCCCCGGGGGGCAGGGGTGGGGCATTTACACCTGGCCGTGGAGATTTCTGTTTGGCCTGCCTGGTCCTGACTGTGACCCTCTGGGTTCCGTCACTTCTTTACTTAAGTACACATGCGCTGATCTTAATTCAGCCCGACCACGCAGAGTACCACATTCCCCTGGCTACTGCCATTGGTTCACGCATAGGCATGTGACCCAAGTTGGGCCAATGAGACTCAGCCCCGAACTTTTAAAGAACTGCTGGCAAAGAGACATTCTTCTTCCATAGGGCTTGCGGCTGCTTGGGGTCATCTTGCCACTAAGAGGGGAGAGTCCATTTGAGTTTGAAGTTACATGGAAGACAACAGCAGAGGTGAGGACTGGGGAGAGAGAGAGAGAGAGAGAGAGAGAGAGAGAGAGAGAGAGAGAGAGAGAGAGAGAGAGAGAGAGAAGAGAGAGAGAAAGAGAAAGAGAGAGAGAGAGAGGAGATGAGAGAGAGGAGATGAGAGAGAGAGAGAGAGAGAAAGAGAGAGAGGAGATGAGAGAGGTAGATGAGAGATCGAGGAAGCAGACTCTGAACGGGGCCAGGGCAGCGGGGGCTCCACCATGCGAAGGAATGGCGACAAGAAGAGGAGCAGCCCGTGCCAGGCCGTCCTCGCTTTGCATGGTCCTGACGTGCACACAGCAGGTTCCACGGTTCAGGTCGATGCCAGTTCCCCACAACACGGTTCCCACGCAGCCACAGGGTGCTCACTGTGATTACGCAAAGTTCCAGCTTCGCAGCCGGCGCTGCGGTCCACAGAGCGGTGTGTACACAACACGTGGGCACCGTGATCCGTGGCCAGTCGCGGCGCTGCCTGCAGAGCCAGCCGGTGACCGGTCACGGCACCTGCCGTTCCGCCCACGCACAGACAGCAAGGCCTCCTTGTCCCCAGGGATGCAGCGGCAAGACAGGCTGCAGAAGTGGACTTTCAGAGAGAACCGGCGGCAGGGCTCGAAGTGCAGCAAAACTGAGTGCATCAGTCGGGATGCTGACACGGAAACCCCAGTCGCATGTCCTGCAGTTGAGGAGAAACGGAGCCGCCCGTGGGAATGAGGGCTCGCTCGCGGGAACCGCTAGAGAAGCCGCCAGAGGAACGTCGTCGAAGGCGAAATTAATCGACATAAATGAGGACGAGCGGCCGTGATGGAAATGACGGGGAATCCGGAGGGAGTGACGCTGGCAAAAACACTTCCCATTTTAAAGGGGCCCTTGGAGATATTTCACAGCGTGGCAAGCTGCGCGTTCGTGGGGGCGTCGTTTAATCTCTGGACACCTCCGTTTACCCCTTTTTAAAACGGGGGTTAACAACAGTGCTTACCTCATGGGCTGGTTGTGAGAACAATGTCTGTAAACGGCTCAGATCAGCCCGTATCAGCGCCCACTCAGGGCGACAGTTTCATTGTCACCAATGGGTCCCCTCTCTAGCCACCTTCTTGTTCCATTATATCTTGTTTAATGGAGTCATAGGGACAGATGTCAGAATCCTCCCTCCCCTCCTCCCCTTTCTGAGGGGATTATTAACCCCTAAATCTGTCCGAAAGACTCCCTCCTGGCCCTGCAGGCCAGTGCAGGAAGCTCTTGGTTGGAAAGCTGTGAGCTGCTTCCCTCCTGGCCACTGCTCTCCCATCTGTCTGAGTTAAGTGCTGCCGGGGAACCATTCGGAGTCTCATGGGAGGGCCAGGCCCTTCTGTTCTCTCTCCCAGCCCTGAATCTAACTGAAATCGCCTCGTAATAATCGCATTTGTGGTCTGTAAACGCTGTGTCTTGCTGCGGCCGGGGACGGAGAGGAGGCAGACAGTCAGAGGATCATTTTGGATCCGGGAGGAGGGGAGGGAGATGGAAGGTTTTGGCAACTGGACTCTAACAGGAATGCCAGGCTCATTTCTTGGTGCTGGTGAGCGGGTTGGGCCGGTGTGGGGGACACTGTGTTTGGCACCTGCGGGCAGCTGTTCCCCTTCCCCTGGGTAGCAGAGGTGATGTGGGAGAGCGGCCGACAGCATGTCTGCAGCCAGACTGTCTGGGTTTGAACCCTGGTCCTCCACCTCCGACCCAGGGCACCCCAGGCAAGGGCCCTCCCGCCTCTGAGCCTCCGTGGGCAATATGACAGCAAGCCACTGCCCGCTGTGACGTAAAGTGGAGGAACCACCGCGAAACAGTACCTGGCACATCCTACGTGCCCCGCGAGGGGCAGCCCATGGGCCCACAGCACCCAGCGCCTCGGGGAGCTGTCCCTCCCCCAGGGCCATCTGGGTGGATCTGTGAATAAGGCTGTTTTAAGAACACTGGCGTCTCTTAGCACACGCTCATCCCACGCCTTCTCCACCCACATCCTGCATAGAGATAATCGATACATAACGAAGAGTTGAAATATTCCAGAGCTGACTGGTTGAATCATGCTATATTTCATTATTTCTATTTAAATATACATATTTCATTAA